AGTAACTTCCCTCTGGTATAGAAAACTGCTGTTTAAAATTCTCTGCTATTGTTAGATAACCCCTTGTTCTGTAAACTGTCATTGTAAATGCTGTCACTTTAAGACAGTCTGTTATTCCATAAAATGACTGAGTTTTTTAGTTCAAACAGTAGAAAAAGTTAAAATGTGCCCTAACTGGTTTGGCTCAGTGGATAGAGCATCAGCCTGTGGACTCAAGGGTCCCAGGTTTGATTCGGTCAAGGGCATGTACCTTAATTGTGGGCACATCCCCAGTGGGAGGTGTGCAGAAGGCAGCTCATCGATGTTTCTCTCTCATCGATGTTTCTAACTCTCTATCCGTCTCCCTTCCTCTCTGTAAAAAAATCAATAACATATATTTTTTTAAAAAAAGAAAGAAAAAGAAAAAGATAAATGTAACTGACTGACCCTGCAACCTAGCCATCTAATATAATAGACTGAAATAGACTAATAATGGTAATAATTATGCCCAGTACAAACTCATTATGTATTCAAGGTTACAACTGTCTGTCACAATAACTCACACAGAGCCCTCTGTAATATCTGCAAACAAGGAGGCTCAAAAAGTATAAATATGAGACACTTCCTCTATGTCGGGACTCAGAGATTTGGAAAAGACACCTCCCTCTTGGCCCCCCACAAAAAATGACTCCTAATTAATTGGCTCATTAAGGCGTCTTATATCTTATTCTATGATTGACAATACAACTGTTACGCCCCCTCACTGAGACACAAGGAGGGTGATTCATAGGTAGGGACATGGTACTGACTTCCTCCCCAATCCTACCCTTATTAGAGAATGAACCAATGACATGAAGACAGCATCAGAGGAGAAATATAAATGGTTAATACACACACACACACACACACACACACACACACAATACACATCAGCATTGTCAAAGAAATGCAAAATAACAACGACCTATCAGATTGGCAAAAATTAAAATTATTTTCAAACTCAGTGCTAATGAATCTGTGGGAAACTGGTATTCTCCTTTAATCACGGAGAGTTAAGAATGGCTGCAATCCTTCTGGGCAGCCGTTTAGTAAATATATTTATCAAAATTTCATTCATGTAGCGATGGTATTGCTAGGAACCTGTCATTGGGGAAAATAGGCCAGGTGTGCACAATGGGGTGCTCCAGAACGCTCAGTGTCACGGTGTTCGGTTCACAGGACACACTGGAAGCTGCCTCAGTGCCCGTCTCTAAGAGACGGGAGCTGATTGAGACACAGTACCATGGACTTCTTGGAAACAGCGATGAGATACCGAACAGGACAGAAAGCTGCCCATGTGTGTCTCCCGCCAGCACAAGCAGGTAACCCGTTCTATGCAGAAATAGGCGTGACAGCCTCTGTCCACACCTCAGGGTGTCTGTGCACAAAGGGCTGCAGACAGAGGCAGAGCAAGAGCTGCCTAGACAACGTACATCACAGCACTGTCCGGGCTCTAGGCTTTTTATTTCTTCTTTAGACATTTTCTATGTTTGCTGGATGTGTGCCATAGGTATGTGTGACTTATCTAATAATAATAAAAAAAAATAAAAAAAATAAAAAAGAAAAACCACACACACATAATAAAACAATTTAAAAATCCTACTGTTGCCCAGCTGGTGTGGCTCAGTGGTTGAATGTTGACCTGTGAACCAGGAGGTCGCTGGTTCGATTCCCAGTCAGGGTACATGCCCGGGTCGTGGGCTCCATCCCCAGTAGAGGGCATGCAGGGGGCAGATGATCAATGATTCTCTCATTACCAGAAGCTCCTGTGGGACATATGCTCTGACAGAGTATAAACCAAGAGAAAAACAAAAAACATTGTGTTAAGACACCATATCCAACAAGAGGAAAAGGCCACAGGAATTGCCAGGACGGTCAAGAAGGGAAGTCTCAGGACTCCAGCTCTGAAGTGGGAACAGAAATCAGCTCGAACAGTCTTCCAAGAAAATGAGCAGAAGCATGCAAGATGTCTTGAGGTTTAACATGTGATGTCTTGGAACTAGGACTAGAAATTCAATGAATTCAATTGATTTTATAAAAAGTCACAAGTAAGCCCAGAATCAAAAAGCCAGTAGTTTCTACCGCCATCTCTTGTTGAAAGAATCTAGAGACACATGTCAAAGCATGGGCTTATAGGGAACAGAGAATCATGGCTATAAGCTTTAGAATATGATAGGCATAGATAAATCATAAATGAGCAACAGTTAAGCCTGTGAATATTTTCAGTATTAGATGAGAAACGCAGGCCTTTATTTCTTAAGTAATTAGGGACCATGTTAGGTTTTAGTTCAGTAATTACAGCTCCAGACTTGAGCTATACCTTGGTCTCCATTTTTAAGTGTATTTTTTAAAATGTATTTTTATTAGTTTCAGAGAAGAAGGGAGAGGGAGAGACAGAAACATCAGTGATGAGAGAAAAGCATTGATTTATTGGTGGCCTCCTGCACACCTCCAGGCTGGTCTCCATTTTTTCCCCCACTTTTTTTTTTTATTATTGTTTGAAGTATTATAAATAGTAGTACTGTTAACAAAAAAAAAAAAAATTGAAACCTGTAAAGAATTTTTTTTAGTTTATTTGAGACTGTTGACATATGCCAGGAAGCAGAACCTCAACAGGTTGAGATAATGCTCCAAAGAATGTCGGGTTACATTTCTCTATTTATACACTGAAATCAAAGGAGGGACATAGGTGGGTTACATGAAATTCATTGGTGATAGAGTAAGGAGGCGGGAGAAAGCAAAGCTGAGGGAAACTCCTGGGATTGGATAAAAAGTAAAATGATGGATGTATACTCAGGTGAGTGCAGGAACAATTAACATGATAAAGAAGGAATTTGAGGCCTCTGTCCAGGAGCCCACCACATTTGGTTGTGCCCCAGGGGCTCCAGAAAAAAGGGAAGTTACAAGTTACCCAGACATCTCACAGATATGTTATCTTAGAGGCAAAAAGGCAAATGGGCTCAGTAAAAAGATCAAAGTTGATCTTTGGGAAAATATCTGGGACTTGACTACCTACTATGCTAGCATGGGCTCCCCCACTCACACCGGCAGCATGGCGGAAGAGAGAATTTCTCCCAGTCCACGCGTTTTACTCTGGTCGGTGGTGATGTCACTGCCTCGGCTAGCCCTGATTGGTTGGGTGAGGGCTAGGGATAACTCCGCCCTGCTGGGCGGAGTTGGGAGCTCATCCTCGCCCCGCCCTGCCCTCTCAATAGCACCATGTGGGCTTCAATGCTTCTGAGCTTTTCCTAGTGTTCCCAGAACCTAGATGCCAGGTACTTGAGTCTTATTATAGAAATAAGCACTGAACTTATTATATTATCAGTCAGTCCAGCTTATTGAAAAGAGCCTGCATACAGAGAGTTGAACGAAAGAGAGCCAATCTCCTTGAAGGTTTTGTGGATGGATTATATAGGGGGCCTTGGGATGGGTGTAGGGCTTGGGAATGAGGTCAGTTGTTCCACAATCGTCATCGGGTTGTAGTTGATCCCCGAGTAGTCACAAGGTGTTTTCCAGTCAGGGGACCACCTAAATAAAGGCCTGTAAAATGTTTGCACAGCCCTATCAGTGTGCTTAGTAAGACAGGAGGTTATGGCTCTACCTATGAGCCAGGTTATGTTCCATTCCTGGTCAGGACACATGCCCAGGTTGCAGGCTCAACCCCTGGTAGGGGTGTGCAGGAAGCAGCCGATCCACTGATATTTCTCATCATTGATATTTCTCTCTCTCCTTCTCTCTCTGAAATCAATAAAAATAATTTTTAAAAGTAATAATGCTTGCAAATATTCTAGTTGTCATCTAATGGGCAAAAAACTATTTTTTAGAACATGATGTTAAGAAAGGATGTAATTGTTGTACACTCGTTCCTTAAGTTTAAGGATGAGGTTAGGTTGATTTCAACAACGGCACTTTACCAAAAGCAACAAATCAGAACTGTAAGCTCTGGTCACGACGGAATTAAAGTTACCTCCGATCGCGCTCACTTCGCACAGGTTTCCCACACTCAATAGTGAAAGCTCCCCGGGCGAGCATGGGCTCCCGCCCCTGCGAGGGCAGGCCGGGCGGCGGGAGGCACCCCGCGCTGTCCACCAGCGGCGGGACACCTGGGAGGAGGCTGCGGGCCCGCAGACAGGCTGCTGGGAAAGCGGCCGTCCCGTGCCGCCAAGCAAACAAATGGCACCTGGGAGCCACTGGCCGGGCCCTTGCTTTTTCTAAGCCCCGCACCGGAAGCAAGTGCAAGGCGAGGTTCAAGGCTGCCGTAAAGGCAGCGAAGCCCCGGGCGCGGAGGCGCCGACTTCCGGCTCCGCCACCCGCCCGGCGGGAAAGTGCGCGGTCGGTTGGAGCGGCCTGGCCCCGCCCTGCGGGCCGCACTTCCGGGAGGCGTGTTCCGGGCGGGCGGACCCAGCGCCGGCGCCGGTTGAGACACCTTCCGCGTCCATGGAGGCGCCGGGGCAGGCGGAGGTGGAGAATGAGGACGGCGACAGCAACTGTGGGGACCTGTGCTGCATGGACAAAGGCCTGCGGAGGTGAAGGGCGCGCCGGCCGGGCGGCGGCGCCGACCCGCCCCGACACCGCATGCTCCCGCCCTCCCAGCTCCTGGTGGCCGCCCCGCCGAGGGGTCCCTGTCCCTTGAGTTATGCCCGTCTCTGCGCTGCCCCTTCTCTGACCCTAGCCCCGCGGTCACCTCCCGGCTCCAGTCGCCCTTTGCAGAGCCCGCGACACAGGCGTTCACGTGCTTCTTGCAAGTACTGAGCTAACCCTTCTGAGTCCCCCCCCGAATGTGGAGCCAGTGCCATGCCCTTGCTTCCATCCTTTGCATCCCAGCCCACACTGGGAGCACCTGGCCTGTCCCGGTGCCTGACTGCCCCCGCGCACCTCGCAGCCCTTCCTCTACCTTTTCCCGTTTCCCGCCTCCGCTCCTTTGTGCCTGGGCGCGGGCTGTCCTTGGCAACTCTTGCTCTGTGTGTGCCTGGCTGCTGCTAGTTACAGCATCTTGTCTGCACCCTGGTCTGGAATTTGCCAGATGTTTTTCAAAGGAATATTTATGTTTAATAGTAGCTGTCATTTACCGAATGCCATCGTTGTGTGCATGTTACATGTATTGTCATAGATCCTTACAACAGTTCCGCAAGGTGGTAATTTTGCATGTGACAAATCTGAGGCCAGAGGATGTAAATAACTTTCAGCCTCACAGCTGCTGAGCAACTAAGTTCAAATTCAAACCCATTTCCATCTAACTTCACTCTCCGCTTTTTTCTACTGTACCACATGACCTGCACACTTTTAATTTCCAGAAACAGAGATGTTTTGGAAAGTAAATGATATTAAGAACACGTGTTAATAGTATACGGTCTGGACTAAGTAAACAGCTCAGTAAGTGACAGAGGCGAGGTAACTGGGAAATATTTGGAACAGTCAGACCAGGAGAGGTTGCTAGTTTGACATTTAGAAGAGCTGCATCCCTTTTTGAGGAGGGACGCTGAATGTGGAGCCAGTGCCATGCCCTTGCTTCCATCCTTCTGAGCCGTGTACATGTGTAGGTATTCCTGGGTCCTGGGAGGGCTGTTTCAGAGGGGCTCTGGTTTAAAGGACACAAACTGAGAGAAAGAAGAGATGAGTTCCATTTAGCGCAGGTACAGTCCAAAGTCAACAGACAGGACAAGCACTTTTTCAATAGAAATGGCAGTCCCCAGTCTACGGCCATACCACCCTGAACGCGCCTGATCTCAGAAGCTAGGCAGGGTCGGGCCTGGTTAGTACTTGGATGGGAGAAATGGCAGTGCCCATGGTTTCTTTTTAAATGGGCTGCCTCCTGGGTTAAGCAGCCATTATGGACAGTGAGGGAAGCAGTAAACTGCAGAGCCAGGTCTGGATTTATACCAGCTCAGGTAACAACTACAAGAACTGGGACAAGTTATTTAATTTCTGTAAATGTCAGTTTCCTTAGGTCCCTATGGTTTAGTATTGTAAAGAGTTGAATGAGATGAGGAAATTGAGACTGTTAACTCATGGAACAGCAAAAAAAAGGAGTAGAGTGCAGTTTTGAACTGGAGTGTAGGGAGTGATCCCAGGGCCTTTGCACTGTTGCCTTCCCTGTGTGCTCATTACTTCATGTTAAGAAGCTAGACATGCCAGGGATCACCTGCCTCTTCTGAGTGGGTTTCTTGATTATATAAATGGCCCAAAATGCTGGTTCGTTATAGGAATTGCTATATTTGTGAGGCATTTCAAGCTACGACACATAGAGAGGATTTCATTATAGAACTAGAGGCCTGATGCACGAAATTCTTGCAAGGGGCTCAGCCCTTGTAGCCCTGGCTTCGTCCTGAAGGTAGTCTGGCTGACTGGTCTAGTTAGCATATTACACTTTTTTTATAGATGAGGAGAGCTCACAGTTACATATACACTGTTGGGTTAATTTTAATTATTTGGTTATGATTTCAAAATTATTTTTTACTGTGTTTGATGGTACATGTTTTCTTTTATAGCATATCAGAGTTATCCTTAGATTCAACCCTCCATGCCATCAATCTGCATTGTAACAACATCTCGAAGATCGAAGCCATTGACCATGTCTGGAATTTACAACATTTAGACTTGTCATCTAATCAAATAAGTCAAATAGAAGGGCTAAGCACACTGACAAAACTACGCACTTTAAATTTGTCCTGCAATTTGATCACAAAAGTAGAAGGTGTGTAAGTGATTTTCATGTAAAACTTTGAATAAGGGAGATGACATAAGTCCATTTTTTTCCTTCCCAAAAGAATGGGATAAATAGTAAACTTTTGAAAAATGACCCTAAAATTTCTTATATAAAAATTTTTCTCCTAGAAGAGTGATTAGCCTTTTTCAAGTATTTTATAAAATACCAACAAAATTGATTTCACTGTTGTTTAATTTGACTGTAGATTTGCTTCAAAACAGTCTGAAATAGTATTGCAGTATTATATAACTTTAATATATTGATTATTAAATCCTGTAAAAACTTTGTTTTATTTTTTTTAGGACTTGAAGCACTAATTAATCTGACTAGACTGAATTTATCCTATAACCACATAAATGATTTAAGTGGTAAGTAAATGTGCTTAATCTATATATATAAAAGCCTAAGCGACTGTTACAACTGGTTGACTGATCGCTATGACATGCACTGACCACCAGTGGGCAGACACTCAATGCAGGAGCTTCTGTTGGTCAGTGCGCTCCCACAGCCAACCTCCTGTGGCTGGCCAACCTGATTGGCACCCATCAGGGCCAGCTGGCCAACCTCCTGCAGTTCTTCCCCGCCCCCCACCCCGACCCCGATAGGCCCCAATCAGGCCTGGGCTATGGGCTAGACAGCCCTGATTACCAGACAGGCTGAGGAGCCCCACCCATACATGAATCCATGCAGCAGGCCTCTAATTTTTCTATATTGCTGAATATTTGCTATGCGTGGTGAGTTAGGATGAGCTCAGCATGTCAAAAAGCTGAATAATACAATTTTTGATGAAAAATCTCATCTAGAGAATGTGTTGGTACCAAAGCTACTGCTGAATGAAAAATTGGGATTAAAACTTGGGTGATCCATAACAGGACAAACTTGGATAAGAAGGACCTCCTTTGGGAGAAATGGTATTTTAATCTTAGATAATTAATGAATATACTATTCTAGAGAGGAAGAATTTCAATAGAACTCCCTACAGTGATAAAAATATTCTAAGTGTGTGCTGCCTGGCATGGCACCCAGTGTGCCAGGCGAGCATTTGCAATGTGCCTCGTGCACTGAGGAACTAGATTTGTCGTTTTATTTACTTTCAATCAAATTTAAGTTTAAATTCCAAAGCCACCTGAGGCCGTCCTACCAGATTGGACAGTATGGTGTATAGCATCCCAAAGGCCATGACAAATTGAAAATCAAATATGTGCTTTTTTTTTTTTTTTTAACTTCAGTATGTCTAAAAAGGTAAAATATTACCTACTTTTTAACTGATTAAAATGATACACTGATAAAGTGAAAAAGTTTCATAATTATTCATTACATTATTGCTTAACTAGGTCATCTAATTATCTTCATATATGAAACAGCCTTATTCATTCATTTGTTTTCTCCCCTACTAGAAAAATACTACCCTATGCCAGGTGTTTAATATACAAAAAAGGAAATGATCTTGTCACTACCCTTAAACTGAAGTAGCAGCAGTATTTTAAATTTCCCCCCAAAAGATGTGTAAGTATTAGGATCAAATATTGGCTGTTGGTCTGTCACTGCTGTGCACTGTTGAGCAAAGTCTGCTACTTTTTGGATGAAATTTCCTTATCTGAAAAATATGAATCTTAGATATGATAATAATTTACTTACTCAACAAATATTTATTAAAGAGCACCTGTAGACAGATAGAGTTCTTTTTTTTAATATGTTCTTTATTGATTTTTAGAGAGAGACGAAGGGAGGATAGAGAGATGGAAACATCTATGAGACATCCATCGGCTGCCTCCTGCATACCCCTTATTGGGGATCAAGCCCACAATCAGGACATGTGCTCTGACCAGGAGGAATTGAACCATGACCTCCTGGTTCATGGGTTGACCCTCAACCACTGAGCTATACCAGCCAGGCTGGACAGATAAAGTCCTTATAGGAAACGATTGTGGAGCATCTAGAACTTATATACTGGTAAATTGCTGGTAGAATTCAAAGTAATATAAGGACTTTGAAAAACAGTTTGAAGGTTTCTTATAAGGTTACATGTACATTTATATACAATTCCACTCTAGGCATTTACCGAAGAGAAACGAAAATATGTTTAACCAGAGACCTGTACATGAGTGTTTGTATGTTTATATAGCTTTTCATATAATCAGGTTTCTATGATTATCTGTAATCTCTAAAAACTGGAAACCACCCACTTACCTATCACCTGGTAAACAGATAAATTGTGATATAGCCACACGAGGAAATAAAAAGGGATGAGCTATTGATACATGGATGAATCTAAAAGGTATTGTGCTAAGTGAAAGCATTCACAAAAGGCTACACTGTATGAATCTAATATGTGCCATTCTAACAAAGGCAGAGTTATAGGGGCAGAAATCAGATCATCGGTCACCAGGGCTTGAACACAGGGAGAGAAAATTGCCTACATAGGGACATCCTGATCAGGGTGGTGGAAATAAATGTTCTATATCTTAGTCATGGTTAAAAAAAAACTATATAAACTATATGTTGGGCAAAGCACATGGGACTCCATACTTAAGAAGTGTGAATTTTAGTGACTGAGAGAAGGAATATGAAGAAAATGTAGTAGGCAACCCTGGAAGTTCTAATTGCTAATGCTTAGAATGATGTATTTTATTCAGAAACACCTTGCCGGAGAGCAGAGCGTGGCAGTGTGTGTGCTAGAGCATGCGGCACACGAGGACTCAGTGAGCATGTTGGACCTTGGAACAGAGGAAGGAAGTGTGCCTGGAGCACAGTAAATAGGGTTCGTGTGCAGAAGGAGATGAGCAAGTAGGAAAAGGGTGATGTTTGCATGTTGTCAGGTACAACGGTGGCCATTTGAGGGCTTTAAACAAGTGACCCAGTGCATGTGTTAAGAATCACTTGGGCTGAACGAGGAGGATGGTGTTAGGACGGGAGTGGGGGACATCAAGCTGTTCCAGGTGTCCAGAGGAGAGGTGAGACCTGGACCGGGTGGAGACGGGAGGTGGATAAGTGTATTTTACAGATGGAGGCCGTAGGACTTGCTGATGGGCACAATGAGGGAATGGAGGAGAAAGAAATCCAAGACGATGAACATGAGTTTTCTCTGAAGCAACAGGCACATGATGGCATCGCTTCCTGGTGTGAGATGATTGGGGAGGAGCAGGTTTGAGGTGGAGTGAGATGTGTGTGTGCACACGTATGTTGAGTATTTGGGTTAGAGCTAAGATCTGGCACATTGGTGGTGTTTGCAATCATGAAATTGCGGGAGGTCCTGGAGAACCTGTGGCTGGAGGAGGGGACAAGCAGTGATGAGTGTGTGTGTGTACATCGGTGATACTGCTGCCCTGACACTGCCAGAGTGCGGGAGGTCCTGGAGAGGAACACTAGAGACAGCCAGAGATGTGGAACGGACCTGACAGTGCAGCTGCATCTCAGAATGGCCCCTCCAAGAGAAGGGAGGCTGGGCCATGGTCCACTGACAAGCCCCCTTCTCCAGCACTGAAGAGAGCCCTGCACGCACACTTTTGGGCTGCACCTTTGATCAGCAAGCTCCACTTGGAAGCAAGTTCTGAGACAGGAAAGAGAAATAGTCAGTTATACCCGTTTCATAGCACCATTATTTACAGTAGCCAAGATTTTGGAAGCAGCCCAGGTTTCCATTAGATGTATGGATAAAAAAGCTGTGGTACATTTACACCATGGAATACAATCTACACTAATAAAAGAGAAATATGTAAATTGACCGTATCTCCACAATGCCCACCAGCCAATGGGGGGAATATGCAAATTAATTGCCAGGACAAAGATGGAGGTTGCCCTGCCCTCCAGAGACAGGATGCCTGCAGTGAGGGGGAGGGTGGAGGGAGCTACAGAAGCAGCTCTGGCTGGAGCAAAGTGAAGATTCCAGCCAGAGGGAAGCGAATACTGCAGACTCCAGCCAAAGCCAGCAAAGACTCCGGCCAGGGCGAAGGCCTGAGTCCCAGGTGCTGGAGGAAAACTGGTGCCGGTAGCAAGGTGAGGGAAGGCCTATTGCATGAATCTTTGTGCAACAGGCCTCTAGTGTGGCCATAAAAAAGGATCTCTTAACTTTTGGGACAGTATGAATGGATCTAGAGAGCATTATGCTAAATGAAATAAGCCAGTCAGAAAAAGACAAATACCATATGTGGAATCTAATTAACAAAATGAACACACTAGTAAGACAGCCTGCACTCCAGGGGCACCTGAGGCTGTCCAGGTGGGGTTCCTGGCTTACCATTCCCCACATAAGCTGGGGCTACAGGTATTACCAGCAACTAAATCAAATGCTATTTGTATTTTATGCTCAAACCATCAAAGGAAATGTACTCAGTGTTTGCTTATCAGGAAGGAGCCTGGAGCCTTGCTTGTTCTGTAAGTTCCTGCGTGGCCTGGGAAGCACAGGAGTTTTGTTTGAATGGAACTCATATCAGGGGCCTCTGTTCTCAAAACAAGCAGACTTGACTGACCCCCTCCACAAGGTGCAGCTTCACAGCGAGGCCTCGCTCACCCTGCACCTTTGCCTCGAAGTAGAACCCACGTAAAGTGTTCCGTGAGCTGTTGGGGAAATAGCTGCTGTGGTATCAGCAGGGTTTTTTCATCTTGCAGGTTTGATGCCCCTTCATGGAATCAAACATAAGCTTAGATACATCGACCTGCACAGCAACTGCATAGACAGCATCCATCACCTACTCCAGTGCGTGGTGGGTTTGCACTTCCTGACGAACCTGGTTTTGGAGAAGGATGGCGACGATAACCCTGTCTGTCGGGTGCCAGGTATGACCCACTAATTCACCATGCTTTGTGACTGTTCACAGCAGCTGGTGCTTAGAACCTGCTTTTATTTGTCTTAAGCTTTTCAGCTTTTTATTATGTATTTGGAAAAACAATTGCAAGGTAAAATATTTTTTAGACAAACTAAGTTGTTTTTAAAAGAAGAACATGATGAATAGATTAGAGGCTGTATTTTATATTTATATTTGAGTAGAGGCTCAGTGCACGAAATTCGTGCAGGGATGGGAGGTCCCTCAGCCTGGCCTGCACCCTCTCTGAATCCAGGACTGCTGGTCTGTTGCCTGATCACCCCTAACCACATGGCTGCCTGCCCGATTGCCCCTAACCCAGTGGTCCACAAACTCATTAGTCAACAGAGCCAAATATGAACAATACAACAATTGAAATTTCTTTTGAGAGCCGAATTTTTTAAACTTAAACTTTTTTTAACGCCACTTCTTCAAAATAGACTTGCCCAGGCCATGGTATTTTGTGGAAGAGCCACACTCAAGGGACCAAAAAGCCACATGTGATTTGCAAAGCGCAGTTTGCCAACCAGGGCCCTAACCCTTCTACTTGCCTGCATGATTGCCCCTACTGCCTCTGCCTGCCTGCCTGATCCCCCGTAACCGCCTCTCCCTCGGCCCATATTGCCGCAGCTTCATCTGGAAGGTCGTTCGACTCTCCTGTCTAATTAGCAAATTATGCTTTATTATTATAGATAAGTGAGTGTCTCAGAATTAAATTACCATTGTGATATATTCTTAGAGTGTAACTGTAGGCAGCTGTAGGTACATCTGGTAGTTGACAAATTTATTTGATTCTCCAAGTAATTTACCTCTTTAATGCATGAGTTTTCGTTTTGGATATATCTCCAGGGTACCAAGCAGTTATGCTGCAGACCCTGCCACAGCTTCGAATCCTGGACTGCAAGAACATATTTGGTGAGCCGGTCGACCTCTCACAGATTAACTCCTCAAGTCTGCAGTGTTTTGAAGGTCTTTTGGATAATTTGGCTTCATCTGATTCTCCCCTAAATATCAGTGAAGATGAGGTATGGTATTGGGTTTTCCCTAATATTAAGATGCCTTCAGCTTGTCCTTAATAAGCGCACATGCTGAGGGTCTGCTGGTGTCTGTCTTAGGTTGCTGATGGAATGCCACCGGTGGTTACAGCCCCCACGGGTGATGACATGGCCCCCCGGGACCCGTTTGCAAGTACACCGACTGACACTGGGCTGCCATCTTTCATGTCTGTGTGCCCACCTGAGCCAGAGAAGGTTAATGAAGATACCGATTTTCAGAACGAGATGAAACTTCAGAAATTAGATGATCAGTTTTTACAGCTTCTCAATGAAGTAACTATTTTTGCTATTTTTCTAAGTCCTGTGTTTGTTGAAGAAATAGTAGTTCAAAAAATGTAAAGTAAAAATTGGTACAAGCAGACATCAGAAACATTGGACTGCATCTGTGTGTCTGTCTATCAAGTCTTGTCTTTTCCAGAAGTGGGACTATTACAGCCCCATGGCAGGAATGGTGATGTTCTTTTCCCTTCATTTTCCTTATCCTCCTCTGGACCTTCCTAATGTGGTTTCTGTTGTGCTTCCCTTGTTTCCACCCACTCACATAATATTTTAAACTCTCTACACCTGTCAGTGAACAGGGGGAATGGGAGTCACTTTTGACCCCTTCTGTCATCTCTTCAGGTGTTTGATGGTCCAAACCACTTCTGGAACCCACAGCTGAGTCCAAGTTAATGCATAGACTTCCTCCTTGGACTCTGTACAGTAGACTTTCCCCAAATGAACCTCTTCTTCCCTGAGTTACTCATTCTGCTTTGCCCCTTACACCGTATTCAGGGTGAGCTACAGTCCTGGACTTGCTGATGTCAGGGTCCTGGCCTCACCCTAGCGGTCTTGTCCAGACCTGCAAAGGTGTTGCCTTGGCCACCTCCCCTCCCAGAACATAGCTCGGTATTACTTTATCTCCTGACAGGAGAGGCTGTTAAGTCAAATGTCAGTTTGACTTCAAAATTTGTAATTTTAATATTTAATTATTTTCTGAAACTGGATTGGGTGTGGGAAGCAAAGAACGCTTATGGGATGTTTTTGGTTCGGTGGGGTTTTAATAATCCTGAACTATTGTCATAGCTATGGGACTAGCACTGCCAGATAAACAAGGTCTCTCCCCTTTGGTGAGGGGAGAGTGAAGGCGGCTGCGGCAGACTTAGTTCCTCTGGGGCTGCAGAAGAGATGGTGATAGGCTTGGGCCGCAGTGTGGACTGGTGTGCTTTGACGTTGACATACTTCTGGAGCTCCGTCTCCTTGGGTTTCATGCCCATCTCTTCTCATGGCCGACTCTTTGGCCAGAGTCACAACTTAGATTTCAGCTGGACTTAAACATGAGCACACTTGGCAGCTTCTCTTGCCCTCGAATATCTTTCTCGTAATGTTTCAGTCCAGTAGGTAGGGTCACGCTCACTGTGTTCCCTAGCAAGGAATCTGGGAGACCCGAGAGTCCTCTGTAGGGAAGCCGTGGAGCCTCATCAGATGACCTTGAAATCAGTGTGTGCATGACTGTCCCTGCTTTGTTTTCACGGCTGTCGTGGTCCACTAGATGACTATTCCAGCATTTACTTATTGTGGTCCAAATGATAAGTAAATGTTATGTTCTGTTTTGGGTTCTGTCAGTTGCATGCAAGTTGTTAAAACGTCCAATTATGACTTGGATTTGCCTGTTCCCCTTCAACGTTCTTAATATTTACTCTTTGGCCGAAACCTGTTTGGTTCAGTGGTAGAGCGTCGGTCTGCGGACTGAAAGGTCCCAGGTTCGATTCCGGTCAAGGGCATGTACATTGATTGCGGGCACATCCCCGGTAGGGGGTGTGCAAGAGGCAGCTGGTCGATGTTTCTCTCTTATCGATGTTTCTAGCTCTCTATCCCTTTCTCCTCCTCTCTGTAAAAAAATCAATAATTAAAAAAATATATATATTTACTCTTGGTTTTCAGCACTTCAGCTGCACTGTGCTGAAGGATGGGTTTCTTCATGTCTGTCTTGCTGACGGTTTGTTTCTCTGAGCATTTTAAATCCAATATATGGAAACTTGTGGGCATTATATCTTCAGCTCTTTTTCTGACCTCCGCTCTCTTTATTCTCTCTCCTCTCTCTCTATTCAGAGTCCACATGACCATTGCTGCTGTCCCACAGTTTCCTGAGACTGACATCTTATTAAGTTTACTCCTCGGTATTCTTCATGCTGAATAATTTCCACTGTGCCATCTTCAAGGTCACTTGTTCTTTCTTTTGTCACCTCATTCTTCTGTGAAGCCCAGCCAGGGAATTTTTACTTTAAACATTGTACTTTTCCTCTTTTTAAAAATAATTCTCTGCTGAGCTTTTTTCTCTCTATTCATGACGAGGATACTTTTTAGGCCACTGAGCACAATCAGGTCTCTCTTTATTGCCCGTCTGTTCTCCTGGGAGCAGTGAGGCTGGCTGCTGCTGCCGGGTGGGTGCTGCTGGGTTCCTTTGGATATTGTGATGGATATTGTGAGTCTCTGTGGAGACTCGATGCCACTAGTAGCCTCCAGGGTCCCTGTTTTTGTCTTGAACTTTGTCACTTGGGCTGCTTACTGTTGTCCTACACTTGTCATCTCTGTGCTGTCCTCTGATTGTATAGACTCCAAAGCCTGGCATTTTCACCTGAGTTTTGGACTTCTGCACAGCTCTCCTCAGGTTAAAACCACAGAGACAGAAGCACCGCGTCTAGTTATTTTCCCATGGGTCAGCGACTAGAATAAGCCTGTATTTGTTCATTTCTCAGGGCCTACAAGTAGTTTTTGTTGGTTGTTTTGTTTTGTTTTGTTTTTCCTAGAGTTTATAATTGTTACTTGAGAGTGTCCATCCATAGGAGCTTACTTGTCCACACCAGAAGCTGATTCCCCGTGTTTAATTCCAAGCTTTCTGTCTTTATAAACTTTCGATCTTGTAAGAGCCCATGGTAGTTTAGGAGATTTCAAATTTTAGTCTTTTTTTACTGATTCAAGCTTTGTTTATTTTTTATTCTAGACTTCTACTTCTTTAATGAATAATGTTCCCGAGAAAGACCTGATGCTGAAAAGAGACATGGATATCACTTCTGAAAGTGATTATGGAAACAGAAAAGAATGCAATAGAAAAATTCCTCGAAGATCGAAAATCCCATATTATTCTAAAGCAATTCAGACCATTAAGCACTACAACAAAAATAGTAACTCTTCCATAAGGTACTTGTTTCCGATTTGGAAAGTCAGATGAGGCCCACACAAGTTACTGCTGCTCTTCCTTCCACCTTAAAGCTCTCTACTTTTCTAACGGCAGCCACAGGGCTCTCAGCCTTGCTCTGTGCCTCTGTGTACATTTATACAGAACCACCCTTTCTCTGGGATAGAGTGTCCTTCACTTGTGAAAAGTAAACACTGCACATTCTATGGGTTATTTTCTGTTCCATTCTTTGTAGTTACAGTCATAAAATGAAGCAGCCTTTCTTTAAAGACTTGTATGTGTGTTCCTCTCTGGCAAACTGCAGCCAAGTGGAAGAGGTGGAGGAGCCGAGGACTGAGCTGATGAAAGTGAACATCAGTTGCCCAGAGGACACCTACCGGGTAGGGAAAAGACTTAGGAGAAATGCATGCAAATGACCTTGGTTTGAAATACAGGGAGTCCCAGAAAAATAACACATGTTTTTATTGGAGTGATGGAAATTAGTTTATTTTTCCTTCCTGGTTTCCAGATGTTGTGTAATGTTATTATTTGTGTAATTTTTGAATGCAGGGCAACCACACACTTACTTAATCAGATTCCAGTTAAGTTCCTGTGGAGAAGGCCTGTCTAAATGTCCACACTCATTCCCGGCAGTGCCTCCTAACCTCTGGCTCTCAGGCACCCCATGTCTAAGCAGATCGGGCCTTTGCACGGAAGTCTGCCTCTGACACACCGGGCGTGCTAATTCAGGGTTTTCAGGGACTTGCCCAAAAGCCACTTAGGGGCCTGTGGATCCCGGATTAAGAGGCATTTAAGAATTTTAAAATTCTTAAGTATTTGCCAGAATCATTCTCACGTTAAGAATTTTTGGTGTACTGATTTATTTATAGCTTTATTAATTTGGCCTTATTTTACTTGCAAAGTTCTGGTTTTGATTGTGATGTCACTGATCTTCTAATAATATAATTGCTTTTTAAACTGTTTTATACCTATCATGCTATTGGTTTTCTCCTCTTATTTTCACATATAGAAGCTTTACTGTTGATAAAAATAATAGTAATTGTCATGACAGTGATGGCAGCTAACTTTTCCTGAGTGGTCATTACGTGCCTGGCACGGTCTGTACGCTTCACTCCCGTTGGTTTGGTTAACTCTCCCCCCAGCCCTCTGAATGAGCTGCTGCTGTTTCCATGCTGTAAATGAGGAAATTGAGGCAAGGTAACTTTTACAAGTTCACACAACACTATTATTTTCTTTCAGATACTTGTCGAGCAGCTAGATCAGGAGAGAGAGAAGAGGTGGAAAGCGGAACAAGCTGAAAAGAAGCTCATGGATTACATTGATGAACTGCATAAACATGCAAACGAAAAGAAAGACATCCACAGCCTGGCTCTGCTCACCACAGACAGGTAAGGGCCATCCCAGCCTGGAGCATGAACTCGCAGCGGGAGCACCTCCATTTCAGCTCGCTGAGGTGAGATCAGACTGTGCAGTGGCAGAAGCTTCAGTGCGTCAGCAGCTTGTTCAGAACAGAGAATGCAGGCCTGTTTGTTTGGGCTCAGCCAGCGGGCTCAAGTAGATCAGTGCACCTTCTGAGTGAGGACTAGCAGGAACTCCTGGAGGCACAGGCTGCATGCCTCCATCCTGCTGGCGGGAGGCCACACCGCCACAGTGCCTGAAACAGCTCAGCAAAGCTTGCTGCTGAATGAAGTTCACATACGATGACGTTTCACTCATCCAGGAAGAATGCTGTGCCTTTTGGCCCAGTGTTAGCCCAGTTTGGCCCAGTGGACTCTGATTTTCTGCCTTTTTTTAATCTAGTGAGAGTTTGAAACATACTGCAAATATCCCACTCCACTGTGACCTTTGATGTTGACTACAGATTTTGTCTTTTTAAATGAGTAATATATGCATCTGATTTCTGTTTTAGGTTAAAGGAGATTATTTTTAAAGAGAGAAATTCCAAAGTGCATCTGGAAGTTATGGTTCACAAACTTCAAAACGAAATTAAGAAACTAAGTATTGAATTAATTAAAGCAAGAGATCAGCAGGAGGACCACATCCGGCACCTGAGAGCCCTGGAGCGAGCGCTGGAGAAGATGGAGCGGCAGAAAGGGCAGCAGCAGGCGGCACAGGTACTCTGTCCTGCCTGGCCCCTGGCGCTGCGGAAACAGCTGTTGTCCAGTGGCCTCAGAGGTGCTGGTGTGTGCAGATCTCCTGCCGTGCGAGTTGGCTGTGGAGCTGCTGAGTGAAGGCTCCTACACTCACAGCTATCGGACGACCTGGTGGACGTGTTGCAGGTTGTGAGGCTTGTATTCCCAGAGCCAGGATGTAAGGCTCTTTGGGGCATCTGAAGGGTTTTTTTAAATGAATTTATTGGGGTGACATTGATTAATAAAATTCTATAGGTTCAAATGTTCAGTTCTGTAAAACATCAACTGTATATTTTTCTCTTAATCCCTTCGTCTATTTCACCAAGGCTAGCAACCCCCTTCTCTGACAGCCGCACCAGTCTCTTCTCTGTCTCTGTGTGTCTTTCTCTTTTTTGTTGTGAAGGTCTCTTACCTTCACACTTTCTGATCTGGATGAGGTGAGCAGCAAACAAAGCGAGGGTCACTGCTGCCAGGGCTGTCCCTGATGTGACCACAAATTCATCACCTACGACATTTTGAAAGTCAGTTTGGGCATGAGGTTCTGTTTCGAAGGCACTTTTCCCTGGGGAACTGGCAAGGGAAGCAGAGGGCTGTTGTCTTAAGTCCTATCATTGTGTTTTCCCCAGATGAGGCTTATCGAAGAGGTGGAGCTCAAAGCGGCAGCTGCCGACCGAGAAATTACCTTGCTTCGAACTTCCCTTCAGCAAGAAAAGGACCAGGTGCAGCAGCTTCACGATCTCCTTGCACTGAAGGAGCAAGAGCACAGGTAAACGCCACTGGCATGGCTCAGTGGTTGAGCATCCACCTATGAACCAGGAGGTCACAGTTCAATTCTCATGGCACGTGCTTGGGTTGCAGGCTCGATCCCAGTGTGTATAGTTGGTGGCCGATCAATGATTCTTTTTCATCATTAATGTTCCTATCACTCCCTTTCTAAAATCAATAAAAATGTATTTTAAAAAAAAGCTCAGGTGAATAAAAGCGTACCAGGCAGTGGGGACAGTCAATCAAAGGAAAGAAGCTGCTTGGTTCCCCTGCCTTCTCTCCTTCCCTTCCACAAACAGGAGCCAGGACTGTGCAGTGGGAGGCTAGTTGAAGAGCCCATGGGAGGGGCAGCTTGTGTATGTGGTAGGGGCCCCTCAGACACAGGAGACTTACTGAGGTGTGGGTACTTACCTGGCAGCTGTGTCTGCATTTCCACTAATCCAAAATGAAGTTGGTCATTGGCATGTGCAAAAAGATTTTACTGGGTCTCCAAGTGACAGCGTGCTCACTTCCTGGTTCTTACTCCTGTGGAGCAGGTGCTAACAAACTTCCTTCCAAGGGCCAGAGAGAAAAGATTCCCTCCCAGCTGGAGTGCTCAGTGGTTAAGTGTTGACCCAGGAACAATTCCTGGTCAGGGCGCATGCCCAGATTGTCGGCTCCATCCCTGGTGGGGGGAGAAGGGGTAAGCATGCAGGAGGCAGTCGATGTTTCTTACTTGTGTTTCCATCTATCCTGCTCTCTTCCTCTCTCTTTAAAAAATCAATAGAAACATATCAATAAAAAAAGAAAGAAAGAAAGTGTTCCAGGCTTTGCGGGCCACGTCTAAGTGCCTTTCCTGCAATCAGGGCTTAAACCAGTGGGCGTGTAAGTGTTCCAGTAAAAGTTGGTTTATAAATCATGGGCCTCATGCACCACCCTTCTCTGAGTCCCAGTGATGGGAACACTTCCGGCTGCCCATCTCCAGCTGCCCCAGCCAATTCCATGATGTCATGTAAAAATTACATACTGATGCTTTGGTTTGGGGATTGGCATCCTCTGTGTGGGCAGACAGCTATAAAAGATTGGAGGAAAACAAAAAATCTAAAAATCGGTATTTAGTTTCCTTTACATATCTTTTTTTAACATCTTGTTCTAGTTTAAAGAAACTCAGACTGGAAATAATGGATTTTGTATTATGGGCTTGGTTTCTTCAAGAAAAATAGTGGTGAACTCAAAGGAAAAAAATGGCCTTATATCAAAAGATTGGTGAATAATTTCACAGTTTAACTGTTTGTTTATTTTTTCCGTAATCAACCACTATTACCAGTCAGGCTGTGTTTGTTGTATGTCAGAGACTCAGCCAGAGCACAAGGCACAGGGAGGGAGAGCACTGTCCAGTGCTCCTGAATGTCTTGGGAATTTAGACCAGGGACATGCCTCTGATCCCATTCACGGAGCACAGTCATGAAAACTCATTCCTTGTCTGTCTTGTCACAGTTTCTGTGTTTGAAGGTAGGAAGCTCATCTTAGATGATAGGGAATAAATAATCTATATATATAAAAAACCAGAGACGGGAAAGCCATAATGGCCTGAACGACCAGGTGCTTAGACACCCACTGAAGCCAGCAAACCAGCCCGATTGGGGGTGGGGCCAGCTGGCCAATCTCCCTTGGCCCCTCCCCTAGCCAGCCTCACCCCTGATTAACCCCCCCACCCCAGAAGGGGGTGGGACTGCTGGCCAACTTCCAGCCCCTCCTGGCTGGCCTCACAATGGGCCCCCACCACCCTAATCAACCCACAGCCCCTCTCCCCAGCCAGCTCCGCCCACGATCAGCCTCCACACTCCAGTCAGGGGCAGGGCCAGCTGGCCAACCTCCCATGGCCTCTTCCCTGGCCGCTGACCTTCAATCGGTCCTGAATCCCAGTTGGGCAGGGCTTACTGACCAATTGCCTGCAGCCCTTCCTCCTAATTGGCCCGGCCCTGATTCAGCCCTGATAGGGGCTGGCTGGCCAGCCAACCTCTCATCATTAGCTCCCATCAGGCCCAGCCCAAATCCAACCCGATTGGAGCCAGGCCGGCTGGACCCCACCCATGCATGAATTCGTGCACTGGACCTCTGGTCCTATATAATAAAGAGCTGATATGCTAATTAGACAAAACAGAAGGACCATCGAACGACCTTCCAGACAAAACTGGCTGCAAGGGCCAGCTGGGACTTCAAGGGCTGAATTTCGTGCTTTGGGCCTCTAGTATTTAATAAACTTTAAAGTTTTTATTTCCTAGAGAACAGCATCCTGTGATTCTTGTTTGTTTTTCATTCCAGGAAAGAACTTGAAACAAGGGCATTTTTTAGTGAAGCTGAATTACAAGAAGCCATAGCCAAGGAAGTGGCAAAAGAAGAGGTAAAGCATGAACAAGAGATCAAAGGATACCAAGAAAAAATCGACGCATTAAATCAGCAATACCTGGATTTAGAGAATGAATTTCGTATTGCTTTAACTCTCGAAGCCAGAAGATTTAAAGATGTAAGAATTGGCATTTAGGTTCCTATTGAAAACAGATCCAGCCAATTATGGGGTGATAAGAGGACTCCACTTTAGAGTTAGCTCTGTGGACATGTGGGCTCTATTGCCTTAAGCAGATCACTGAATTCCTAGAGGTGAAGCGTCTGCCCTGAGATAAGCACTCTCCAAGCTCTCCATGCTGTTGCCAAAGCCCAGTCAGAGGGGGTGGTCCGGTGCAGAGCTTGAGGACACCTGGGTTCTCCCTGTGGCTGTAGGGCCGAGATTGCAGCCGGACCCCGGCCTCCACCTCTGCCACGTGTTGAGTGCAGCCATGCTCTGTGTGGAACACAGCAGCACTGAGTGCTGTGATTACATCATTTTGCTAAATCTCTGAGATTCTAAATGAAAGAAGTGCCCTAGCCTGTTTGGCTCAGTAGATAGAGTGTCTACCTGCGAACTGAAGGATCCAGGGTTCGATTCCTATCAAGGGCACATGCTCAGGTTCCAGGCTCGATCCCCAATAGGGGATATGCAGGAGATAGCTGATCAATGATTCTCATCATTGATGTGTCTATCTCTTTTTCCCTCTCCCTTTTTGAAATCAATAAAAACTATATATATATATAAATAAATGTGAAAGAAATAAGTTGTTGCCAGAAACAAATATTTTTCTAAATATTTGGAGAACTGCTATTTATAATGCAATTTTGAAATATAGGTTAAAGATGGTTTTGAAAGTGTTGCAACTGAGTTAGCGAAGAGCAAGCATGCTCTTGTTTGGGCTCAACGGAAAGAAAACGAGTCTTCCTCTTTAATTAAAGATCTGGCCTGCATGGTGAAGGAGCAAAAGTCAAAGCTTGCCGAAGTCTCCAAAATGAAACACGAAACAGCAACAAACTTGCAGGTAGGTCTGTAACCCTGTATTCTCCTTTCTGTTTTTATGTCATTTTCCCAAGTGCTTGCAGTGATTTTAGGAAGTGCACAATGTTGAACTTTTAATGATACTAATATGTGCTTGACATATATGAAAAGTAATAGAACAGAGATTAACTGATCTCCCAGAGTGAACTGCATACCTAAGAGAGTGTTTAAGTATAATGAGGGCGTTAATAGGAAACTACTAAGTGGCTAGAACACAGTTTCACAGTGAGAGAAGGAGTTGTGACTGTGATGCTCAAATTGTTTGGTTTGGGAAGCAGCGTGTGGGTTGCTGTACTAACTTTGTAGCAGTGGTTTTTTAGACAAACCCACACATAATCTAAATTAGTTTCTGCTGTTGCCATTTTAAACGTTAGGGGTGTTTGCCAAGAGAACTTCATTTCTGTAAATGCAGCGGTCGCCAACTGGTGATCCATGAGGTCCGAAAGGTTGGCAACCACTGCTCGAGGCTTCTGATATAAATGCTGGAAAACTGGGTATTACAGGTGTAGTTGCTCTTAGGGTGTTAGAATAAAATTCAGAGTGTTTGAAGGAGTGGCCTCTTATATTTTACTTCTGACCTACATTTATCTTTAGTTAATAAGACTAAATCTTCTTCTGATGTAAAATTGAGGAACATTTACTTGGTTTTTGCTTAACTAACATGTTTCTTACTATAAAATGCAAAAAAGTAGGACTGGGAGCATTGATGTATAATAGTTGCATTGCGTTTTCCCATGCCTGGGGAGTATACAGAATCAGATCAGCACCCTTGAACTCCTGATCGAAGATGACAAGCAGAAGAGCATCCAGCTCGAGCTGCTCAAGCACGAGAAAGTCCAGCTGATTGCTGAGCTCGCGGCCAAGGAGTCACTGATTTACGGTCTCAGGACAGAGAGAAAAGTGTGGGGCCACGAGCTGGCACAACAGGGTAAAATTCTCACATTTCAGAGGGAAACGAACCCATTTTTCTGAAGAAGCAAATCTGCATATGGGAAGGGCTTCCCTGCCCCATGACCCAGGGTCAGGCCCCTCCCCCAACTCCTGGGTCAGGCCCCTCCCCCACCTCCTGGAAACAGGAAGTGGCTTACTATACCAGTTGCCCTCTGAGTCCAGGTTGGCTTTCCTCCTGCTGGTGTAACTGGGTTACTTTCCTCACCAGGCCTGCCCTTCTCATGGTGCCGCTGAATTGAATTGTTGAAAACATTTCTTTCTCATACAGTAATTTTACATGATTTCCTACAGCCAGTTTTCTTCTAAATGTTGCTAACAGTTATCTTGTTACACACGGAGAAATGCTAGCGGTGCATAGATGAAAACCATCGTCTGCTTAGGTTAACCGACCTCAGTCCATTCCAATTGAAATCTGCCTAGCGGAGGTGGCTGTAGAGTACACATTTGCTCCGTGGGTGCTGGCTCTAATGGAGCGTGCTCACCTGTCATTCATGGGGTATCGTGTCGCGCGGCACATGATCTGGCTGTTAGTGTGCCATATCCTGACCAGTTAGATGGGACCGCCTGTCACCTGTTCTCCGATTGTGGTGAAGGTTTCAGACAGCACGAGCTGAGATGCCTTTTGTTTCTGGCCCTTTCCTCTTCATACTGTGTGCTGTTACAGCTCTCATTTCTTTAGCCAGCTCTCCTTGTACTCATGTTATATTGTACATTGTGAAATTCAGTGTTCATAAAAGACAAATCCTCCAATCTCCTAAAGTTTGCCTCCGGTGGTGTTTGCTTCCCAGGATCTTGTCTGGCCCAGGATCGCGGGAAACTGGAGGCGCAGATCGAAAGTTTATGTAAAGAGAATGAGTCTCTGCGGAAGACGAATGAGCAAGACAGTGACACGCTGAAGATTAAGTGCAAAATCATAGAGGACCAAACCGAGACCATCGGGAAATTAAAAGCTGTAAGTTTGGCGTTTTGTTTTGGGAAGACAGTATATGCAGGTTAGAGAATCTGTGGATCGGAGTGGAGTATCCAATAAACATTTTGGCTGTGTGAGTCCCAACTGTTGTGGAATTTAAGACAGGTTATCATGTTTTTCCTTTTGCAGTATTTCCTCCTTTGCTTTTAAAAGTGATATTTGGCATTCATGTATTGACTTGAAATTACATTTACTTCAAATTTTTAAGAAGAATGTTCTTATTGCCCTTTGAAATAACTAGAAACAGTGTTGATGAAGGGTTAGGAACCACAAGAAAATGAACATTTTATATGTTTAAAATATCTCTTAATATTGTTCTCACTTCTCACACTTACGACACACCTGCTTTCCTGGAGGTGAAGGTGTGTGACTAGATCACAGGGTGCGTGCCACTGTGTGCCCGTTGTGCCCACCCTCTTCCTCAGGCCCACCTGAGAGAAGCTTCTCTGTGTGGACATTTTCCAGAGAAATTTTTTGAAGATTGTCTTGAGCACTAAAGCAAACTTAAATTCCACAATTTTCTTCTTAAAGTATAAAAATAACTAACTGAAAAGGGAGTTTTTATTTTTTAAATGTATTTTTATTGAATTCAAAGAGGAAGGGAGAGATAGATAGAAGCATCAATGATGAGAGGGAATCATTGATTGGCTGCCTCTGCACACCCCCTACTGGGGATCGAGCCCACAGCCTGGGCATGTGCCCTGCCCAGGAATTGAACCAGGACCTCCTAGTTCATGAGTTGACACTCACCCACTGAGCCACACAAGCTGGATGAAAAGGTTTTTTTAAAGAAATTTCTAAACGGGATTATCACCCATAAAGTTAGGAACTCAATCTTTTGAGAATTTATAACCACTTAATATTTCAGTTTTTTCCTTAGTTTTTTTTTTTTTTTTTTTTTTTTTTTAATTCAACAAATATTTATTGAGTGTCTTTTATGAGCTAGATATTGTTCCAGATGCTTGGGACACAGCAGAGAACAAAAAGCCCTCGTGGAGCTTATGCTTATGACCACCTTGCCTAGTGTTTATGACCACTTTGCCTGCATGCTGTCTATGACACTGGGCAAATCTCCCCTCACCTGTCCAATGCAGGAAGAAGCAGGCCTGGCTCAGACATGGATAGCATGTCGGATGCATTGTAGATGCCAAATAGGTACCACCTCCAGCCCACTACCCAGAGAGTAGATCCGGCTGGAAGTTGACTTTTAACAATAAAATACAGGAGGAGGACAGAGGGAGTGCAGCAGGTGGGGTGGTGCGCTGCCACACAGGGTCTGGGCTGGCTACACCAACTGCTGCTGCTGCTTCTTGGTGGCTGCCTTGCTGGCAAGGTCCTTGGCCTTCTCTGTGGCTGCCAGTGCCATCTCCTTTGCCTTCTTCTTGGCTTCCTTGGCTGTCTCAACAAGGGCTTTGGAAGGGGTCTCACCTTGCAGCTTGGCCAAGATGTATTCAAAACCCTTCATTGACTTGGTCACATTGCTTTTGAACTGGGCGAGACCAAATTCCTGGACAGCTCTGGAGATGCCAAGAAAGCTAGAGAAGACCCAAGCTTCCAGTGGATATTTGGTATTTGTGTTTGTCTTAACCACATAATCAGACTGGTGCCTCCTCAACCCGAGGACATACAGAGGGAGCTGGGCAGAGCTTCAGCAGTAAAGTCAACCTCACTGATGACTTAAAATGCAAATTTGAGAGTTTGATGTTTTCACCTGAGTAGATTCTCTAATTAGCTTCTGACTATGGAAATTTGAAATCCTTTAAAATGCTGATTCCTTGTGTTATTTTGGTACTTTTCAGTATACCTGGATCATGAGACCCTGGTGCTGCAGTGCTATTCTGACTGTTAAGAGGGTTATTTCATAAGAATCTTTCATGGCTTTTGTGGGTTCTTGATAATGTATGTCAAGACTGCCCACGCCTGAGTACTTCAGGGAGGCGTGGAGAAAATAAACAGTTCATGCTTATGTGGACGTAAGCCAAGACTACCTGTGGCCTTTGCTTAGAGTCCTTAGCTCTGTCACCCCTGAGGGGCTGCACCTTGTTCTGTGTGACCCTGAGAATTCCCCTCAGTTAGGCTTGTCCAGCATTTGTTTGCCTCCATCTTCGTCCCAAGAGGAATGAGAGGCAAGTGGGTAGGGAGAATCGGGACAAAAATAAGACCTTCCACACTCGCATCCGCAGCCCAGTGCTGGAGCGCAGAGGCCTGTGGGACCTACAGACATGGCACCCTGCACCTGCCTGACGGGCTGGCCCTCCTGGTGCTAACTCAGCACAAGACACAGGAAAGTCCACCTCGGTCTGGGGATGTGAGGTCTCTTTGCACATGACATTTCAGTAATGAAATCAGACATTATTTAAATGTTCGCAGTAGAAATGGTTTAACCCAGTGAGCTATATCCCTGTCAGGCACTTACTTTTTTTTCTTTATGCCCTGAAAACATTTATTCAAATGCAAAATGATGTTATTGAATTCCCATTGTGCTGCTTTCTCCTTCCCTTCTACTCTCTGTGTGGTTAGTAATCACTAACTTTCTGAAATAAAAAGTCTGAGTAGGACAGAAATCTCCCCTCTTAATAGCCCCTAAACAATGTCTATATATATTTTCTAAAACATTCATTGAACTTTGAGTTCATTTTTGTAGTTTTTAAAATAATTTAGAACCATACCTAAATAGGGGTCAGACCCTCCTATTTAATTAGGAAATGACACATCTAGTCTAGTCTAGGATTAATAAAGTACTTATTATTTTCTTGAAGTGTTTACAGGAGAGAGAGGAACAGATCAAAATATTACAAGAAAACATCTGTGAAATACAGAAATGTACTCAAGAACAACTTGACGAAAAATGTTCGCAACTGGATGACATAATTGAGAAACTAGAAAGACACAATGAAAGAAAAGCAAAACTAAAACAGCAGTTGCAAGTAAAGGAATTAGAACTTGAAGAAATTAGAAAAGCTTACAGGTATTCTTTGGTGTTTCCTGCTGAGAAGTAAACTGTGGCTTAATAACTTGTCTGACCAATTCTGTCCCTCACATTCCCTCTTCTCCTGTCAGTACCCTTAATCAGAAGTGGCATGACAAAGGGGAGCTCCTCTGTAATCTGGAAAAACAAGTAAAGGAAGTGAAGGAGAAATTTGAGAACAAGGAAAGGAAGCTGAAAGCGGAAAGAGATCAAAGTGTTGAGCGACAAAAGTAAGCATGAAGCCCTCAGGCACCAGGCCCTCCGGGAACCAGGAAGGGCCAGATGGGAGGAAGGATGAAGGGAAGCTAAAAACATATTGGATGAAGTTATTTGCCAAATATTTGACTTCCATTCCATTATTCCCTCTATAGAGGGAAGGCCTGAGTTCTCTCCTGAATAGTTGTGAGCTTTAAGTCTGTGTGTGTGCGGAAGTGAGCACCTGACATGTAATTACTGTCCCCATATTGGGCTTATTGCTGCGCTTACTGTTTCCTGCTGTCTTCCGAATGCAGCCAGTGTGCTTGGCTGTTGCAGATGGCCCTCAGAGGAGTAAGTTGTCTGGGACTCTGGGCCAGAGAAGCCAGAGCTCATTTCAAAGGGGGAGGAAGCTGTTCTTGGGGCCACTTGTGTGGATTTGGTAAGTGCTCTACAGGAAATGCAGGTTTTACTGTAAACTGTCACTAGGCCTGTTACAGCAGTTTATAAAGCTGACAGCCTTGAAGCTATGTAGTGCAGTTCAGTGCCATCAGATAGAGATGGATAGACATTATGCGCAGACTCCCATAATGGTGTTTTTTCTCCTAAGATTGAAGGTGGAGTTATCTCTGGAGAAAGATTTGACTGACAGCAGCATCGCTGATAGCCCTGTTGCGCTGCGCTTTCACGGCTGTCCAGGGGCCTTAGCTCAGGGCTCAGAACCAATAGCAGAAAAGTGTTCATTGTGGACTTTTTAAACAAAGTCACTCATATCTATATAATAAAAGGGCTAATATGCAAATTGTCCCCACGGGCAGGAGTTCAACTGGCCGGGAGTTAGACATGTGCTGACCACCAGGGGGCAGTGGCAGCAGACAGCCACTAGGGACCCTACCTGTGCACGAATTTCATGCACTGGGCCATTAGTTTAATATAAAAGAAGTGGTGTTCGGCCTCTAAGTAACTTTTAGTACTAAACTTCTGTGAATACTAATGTGTTTATTAACCTAGGGCAGTGGTCGGCAAACTCATTAGTCAACAGAGCCAAATATCAACAGTACAACGATGGAAATTTCTTTTGAGAGCCAAATTTTTTAAACTTAAACTTCTTCTAATACCACTTCTTCAAATAGTCTTGCCCAGGCCGTGGTATTTTGTGGAAGAGCCAAGGGGCCAAGAGCCTCATTTGACTCATGAGCTAGTGTTTGCCGACCACGGACCTAGGGTATTATATTATCTGTTAAGCATTAGCACAGGGAAGTCAGACCATCCTCCTATATAATAAAACCCTAATATGCAAATCGACCTTATGGTTGAATGACCAGTTAATGTGACACACACTGACCACCAGGGGGCAGATGCTCAGCGCAGAAGCTGCCCCCTGGTGGTCAGTGTGCTCCCACAGGGGGAGTGCTGCTCAGCCAGAAGCCAGGCTCATGGCTGATAAGCTCAGCAGCCTCTGCTGCAGGCAGGCAGCAAGGAGCAAGGAGTCCCAGAATGCAAGAGGGATGTTTGACTGCCGGCATAGGCCCAACCAGGCGGACATCCCTAGAGGGGCCCTGGACTGCGAGAGGGCGCAGGCCGGACTGAGGAACCCCACACCCTCAATGTATAAACGTAAACCTGCCTGTAGTATGTGCTTCAGATCATTGTCATACTGCACATCCCCTGGGAAGGCGCTTCCAGTCCCCTCCCACAGACGCAGGGCTGGAGACCAGAGCAGGCACTCAGAGGCAAGACTCACAAATGGGCATGAGGGTCCCTGCCCTGTGCAGCTGGCTGATTCTGCTGGCGGCGAGCTGCTGGTAGCTGGATTCCGGAGATGGAGGGCCCTTTGCTACTATGTGTCCAATGGAATGTGAATGTGAGAGCTGCCTTCTCTGAAGAAAATCACCAACTTCCATACACACCGCGGTGCGGGTCTTGTCTTGTTTCAGGGATGCTGTGGAAAAGCTCCATTGTATGGATGATGCCTTTAAAAAACAAGTGGAGGCAATTGTAGAAGCTCACCACGCTGAAATAATACAACTGGAAAATGAAAAGCAAAAATATATTGATTCTGCAAATTTAAAGGTATTATCAGTAAATTGCACTTGATTATCATTATTGAATTGTTACAGCTAAATAAATTGAGACTGATAAAGAGAAAAGGCAGCATGATTTAATGACCAAATAGATTAAAAGAATGTTGCCAAAACTATCATGAAGGCAGGCCATAATGTTGGCAGGTTGTAGAATATAATTGAGTGAAACCGAGGTTATGAGTGATCTGGGATGGACCAGCTCTGTGATCTCTGAGTGAAAGTCACCATCTCCCTAACCAGTCTCATAGCGAAGCCCCTTCTTGCATGCGAGCAGGGTGAGGAGTGAGTAAATTAAACACAAGTCATCATTACCTTGGGAAAGTCCTCGAAAAGTAGTCTTTTATCAATAATTAGGGCTCAGCACTATCATGTTTGTCATATTACTTTGGTTGGCAAAGGAGATTTTAATAGTACACATGCATGAGCTTTCCCCTGAAGTCCTCATTCACAGTTTGGGATCAGACCCTGGTGTTTTTCAAATTCAAGAGGTGATTCTGATGTGACTCCCCTCTGCTGAGATCTAACTGAGGGGGCAGTTGCAAAATTCTATTTTCCCCTGATTTTGAAGTGGTAATAGGAAACAGGTATATTAGCCTCCTTTTCCGTCCCCCCACTCCCCAAACACACCCACACACGCCGTTTTGTTTCCCGAGGTTTTGGTTAAATGCCTTCAATTGTCCGAAATATTAAATAGAAAATTCCAAAAATGATTCATAAGTTTTAAATTGCACACCATTCTGAGTCACGTGAGGAAATCCGCCCTCCCTGACCTGCCCGGACGCGAATCATCTCAGACTGTGGTCCCGTTGTCCACTGCCTCCTTGCGGTATTGCTCCCGCCCGCTAGTCATTCGGTAGCCACCTTGGTGATCAGATGGACTGTCCTGGTATCGCAGTGCTTGTGTGCAAGTAACATTTATTTTACTTGATGATGGCCCCAAAGCGCAAGAGGTAGTGATGCTGGCAACTTGGACATGCCAAAGAGAAGCCATAAAGCGCTTCCTTTTAAGTGGAAAGGTGAACATTCTGGACTTAATAAGGAAGGAAAAAATCGTATGCTGAGGTTGCTAAAATCTACAGTAAGAATGAATCTTCTATCGTGAAATTGGGAAGAAGGAAAAAGAAATTCCTGCTAGTTTTGCTGTTGTACCTCAAACTTCAAAAGTGACAGCATCAGAGCGTGGTAAGTGCTTAGATAAGATGGAAAGGCTTTAAATTTGTGGGTGGAAGACACAGACAGAAAACGTGTTCCCATGGACGCAGCATGCTGCTCACAAAACACTGAGCCTGTGTGAGGACTTCAGCAGGGACCGAAACCAGGCCATTCACTGCGAGTGAGGATGGCCGCCGACGCAGGGACAGGTGCGGCATTCTGTCAGCTCACCTCGTCTGTGGAACAAAGGGTCAGGGCCACGCAGAGAGATGTTCTGAGGGACACATCACATGACTTTATTATAGTCTAATGCTCTAGATGTTCTATTTTGTTGTTAATCTCTTGCTGTGCCTATTCTATAAATTGAGCTTTATCATAGGTATATGTACGCAGGAAAACCGTAACATATAGGAAGTTTGGTTCTGTCTGTGGTTTCAGGGTCTTGGGACATATCCCCACAGATGGGGGGACTCTCTTCTGTACATGGGAGACTCAGAAATAAGCAGCCAGAAAGAGCCCCACCAGAGAAAGTGACAGGAATCTCTGTGTCATTCTGGTCAAGGTTGTGTGATTAGTGGACATGACTCGGGAGTCTGTGAAGAGCGGATGAGAGCTTTAGAAAGCATCACAATGATAAGGAAGTATGACTTGTTCAGAACTTAGTTCTATATTTCAAGTCAAATCAACAGACGTTTCAGATGTTTTATTTAAGATCTGCTGAGTGTTTGGCAAAGGTACATCAGGTACCAAGTCAAGTATCAGGATAGGCGCTTACTTGGCTGAAAGGAAAATGCCAAGTTCTGTTTTAGACCTCCCACCAATATGACATAAAATTAAAGGGATAGATTTGTTGAGGAGTTAAATAAATGGTACCAGAATTTACATGTGACAATAAAAAAAAAAAAAAAAAAAAAAGTGAGGTACCACAGAGAAATGATAATTTAAATTAGGAGAAATATTAACTTTCTGGGGGAGAAAAAGTAGGAAATCTATATTAGGAAGATTTATATTAATCTAGTGATGAGGAAGAGGGCTGGGCATAGTGATAATCCTTTTGTGAGAGCTGTATTAAAGAAGAGAGTTTCAAGCAGAAATTAATGGTATTAATTACAGAAAACTCTGCGGGGAGCAACCCATTGTCTTCGCCAGCAGAGTGGTGTGGACAAGGAACCCGGAAGGGCGGTGACCTAGAGCTCTGGTGCAGGTCAGGGCATACACTCTCTGTCCAGTGGAGACAATGGCAGCTGAGGCCACTTTCCCACCAGGTCATGTGAATCCTTACTGTAAGAGTCTGCCTGTTACTGGAAATTGCCTGCCTAAGGGCTATAGGTGTCTCCCAAACTGAATAAAAGATGACAAAGCCAGTGCCCAAGTGGAGTCCTTCCTCTTGAGCTGGGCTCCCACCTGGTCCCCCCATATTTCCAAATTATTGTTTCTTGTCTCTCATTTGCGTGTGGCCCCTCTTCCAGAGCCCGAGCCCTGAACCATGCGGGATGTGGGGAATTCACAGAACTCTACTGATTAAATGACCCCTCAGAAACATGGCAGTTTTTTTTAAACACTTTTTTAAAATACGTTTTTATTGATTTTTAGAGAGGGGGAAGGAGGACAGAAGCATCATTGATCGATACCTCCTGCATGGCCCCTACTGGGGATCGTTACCCCAGGCATGTGCTCTAACTGGGGATTAAATCTGTGACCTCTTTTTTCCTGGGTCGATGCTTAACCGCTAAGCCACACCAGCTGGGCAAAGATGGAAATTTAAAACCACCAACAGCAACTGAAGAAATGCTGTTGGAACTATAGTAGATTATCTATCATTGGGAAGGGAAGTTATGTTAAGTTTGAAAGTCCGTAAGGGTCTAGTGTTTAAGGTGAGTGCATGACTCAGCACTCATGGCAGTAAAGGACAGTGCAGACCTGAAGCCAGAAGAATGCATGACTCGGCACTCATGGCAGCACAGGACAGTGCAGAGATGGAGCCAGGAGACTCTTTCTGTCCACACGTGCTACTGAAGCTGCATGACCTTCAACAAATCGTCTAAGCTCTAAAACAGAGTAAATAAATCACCACATGCCCACCACCAGAACCTGTGAGAAATAGATACTAAACATGTCAGTACTTTGTCCACTGCATAAACATTGTTTTCCCAAATAGTATTTGAACAAGTTTACTTTACTCTCTGCTTTTTTATAAATATCGCAAAATGCACAAGAATAAACTTTTTACTTTTTTCTTTCAGAATGCATTTTTAAAATAATTCTGTTTAAGAAATTTAAAAGTAAAATTTTATATTTGATTTAGGTTCATCAAGTTGAAGAAGAAATGCGTGAACTTCTGCAAGAAAACTGCAAGAACAAAAAAGCACTGGAAGCAAAAATTAAGCATCTTGCTTTTGCTCTAAATGAAATTCATCAAGTCTTGTGATGGTTCTGAAAACGAATTCAATTGAAATGGATCAGCAGACCAATTGTAAAAATAATTAAATATTGTAACAGTAGTAACTGCTATGACTTTGAAATGTCTCTTTCTACATATTTCATCCTGATTATATTTTAAAAGACTTTTGAAAAAGTGTTTAATTGTATATGTAGGTTTTTATAATAAATTGTTGAGAATTATGTGTATTAGAAAAACCTATCAAAATAACTAGACTTAAGACACTTTGTTTCTGTGCTATCCATTCTTTGGTGGTTACACTTTCCCTATAAATATGTAAATGGAATTTAAGAATAGCCTTTGACTATATTAGGGACATTATTTTAATAGTTGTCATTGTCTTATTGTATTGATGAAGAATTAATTATATTTCTTGGTTGTCCTTTATGTAGCTCCATTCTTTCAAAATGCTCATACCAAGAGCCAAAAAGAACCTGAGCTCTGTATGGTCAGAGATGTGGCACTGGAAAGAAGGCATGTCCCATTTCCTCATCCATAACGACCCTTTTTATAATGCGTATAACTCATTAAAAATTACACTTAAAGTTTATAAACAATGTCTGTTCCAGAGGAACACTACTACTCCACCCTCAGTTTTTCATCTCCCCTTTAGTCACTGTATGTACAAAGAGAATTCTTATTTTGCACTGGAAACAGTTTTCATTTCATCCAGTCATTTATTACTGTATAGCTTTTGTCATCTTTGGTTCCTGTGTACATAAAACAAAAACCCAAGTTCTATCCTCCTCACTGTTTTTGAAAGGGGATTATAATCCTGTGCTTTTAAGTAATAGCTAGTGACTTTTTAAAAGTTAATGGAATAAGAAAAAAATATAAATGCTTCTAAAAGAGAGGTCCATGTTTCATTTTAGGCAAGTGTCACACTGACATCTGTGGGACAGCATTGAACATACCAAGGTGTAATGGGAGTTGGAGAGAGGAGAGCATAGAAATATTTGGGAGCATAATCACTAAAAACTCCCTAAGTTTGATGAAAAAGATCAACTTACAAATCCAAGAACTTCCATAAAACCTAGGATAAACATGAAGAGAAACACATAGACACTTTATAGTCAAACTATTGGGGAAATCTTGAAAACAAGAAAATGTGGTTTATCTCAGAGAAGCAGTATAATTAACAGTTGATTTCTCATGAGAAACAGGAGGCCAGAAAGCAGTGAGGTCTGGAAGATAGGAATTGTCAATCAAGAATGCTATAATAGCCGAAACCAGTTTGGCTCAATGGATAGAGCATCGGCTTGGGGACTGAAGGGACCCGGGTTCGATTCCGGTCAAGGGCATGTACCTTGGTTGCGGGCATATCCCCAGTAGGGGGTGTGCAAGAGGCAGCTGATCGATGACTCTCTCTCATCGATGTTTCTAACTCACTATCTCTCTCCCTTCCTCTCTGTACAAAATCAATAAAGTATATTAAAAAAAAAAAAAGAATGCTATAATATATCTAGCAAAACTATCCCTCAAAATACAGAAAATATATTGCTAGCTAAACTAATTGAAAAGAAAGGCTGAAAGGAAATGATATCAGACAGTAAAATCCACTGGAAAAAATAAAGAATATTGGAAACAAGTGTAGGTAAATTTTTATGGGGTGAGGTATATATTTTTTAAAATGGAAGAATGTAAGGCAGTTTTAACACTTGTTTGATTTATAGCATATATAGATATGATGTGTGATAAAAATAGTGTGAAGTTGGAGGAAATACAACTATATTGTAGCTTATTTTACCAAGTTAGTCAATACCTAAAGAGTGACACATTAAAATCCATATTGTAATCATAGTTAAAATGTCAACAGACCAGGTTCTGCTTCTTAAATTGAGCATGAGGAACTCTGCAGACCTGTTTCCCAGCAAAATAATACATTTAAAGTCTCTGAAAACTGTCCTAAGAGCATATAGCAAGTGAAGACATTTAAAAACATGTACTAAACCTGTCAATAGCAAAGCCCGAGGCCCTGAGCCATGGCCAGCTCCCAGTACCTTCCCCTCTGCCTGACGGGAATTCCGTAGTGGATGGCTGTGGCCGAGAACATAGGTGTCCTCTCAGCCCAGCTCCACTAGCCCCTGGGAGGCAGGCTGGTAGCCTTAGCCAGGAGTCTGAGGAGCCAGCGAGACTCATGTTACTACAATCAGGAACGAAGCTTGGGCATACTAGTAATAATGGGGTGGGAAGATAACTTGGGAGTTGATTACTATGTTTATGGTCTTGACTAATTTTATGGTCTATGCTTATCCCCACTCATTAGGCTGAATAAATGTTTTACATGTCAACAATGTCTCAAAGTGATTCAAAAAGGAAAAAATTCCATTGGCAACAACATCCAAAAGAACAAACTTAAGGTTAAGTTAAATTTAACAAAAGTGTTAATCTTACAGTCTGACAAGAACAAATCATTATTGAAATAAGATATTCATAGATCGGGAGACAATACTGTTGAGATGATCATTCTCCCCAAATTTATTTAGCAATCTAGTGCAACCCCTATCAAAATCCCAGTTAGCCTGTTTGCAAAAGTTTCTAAGATAACCCCAAAATTTGTAAATTCAAGGGACCTGGAGTAGCTAAAACCATATTGAAAAAGGAAAACAAAGTTGGGAAATGCACATTTCTGATTGAAACCCAGTAACTGGCACAAAATGAACATGGCGGTCAATGGGCTCCAATAGTATGGCCATAACCCGCGTGGCCAGAGACCGCACTGCTGGGCCCGGGGAGCTGCAGGCCGGCGGGCAAGACGCGGGCTCCGCCGCGGCTCTCGGCCCCGCCCCTCCCCTCCGGCACTTCTTCCTCCTCCGCCACGCCCACCGCCACAGCGTCGCCTGGCAACGGCGACTGGCGTCACTTCCGGCCATTTAAACTCGGCGTCGGCGGGGCGCATTCGGGGATGGCGGCGGCCGAGCCCGCGAGCTCGGGGCAGGCGGCGCCGCAGGGCCAGGCCCAGGGCCAGTGGACGCCCCCCGCCTCCCCCGCGCCGCCGTCGCAGCTCGGGGGCCCGGCGGGCGGGAGCAGTCGGCACGAGAAGAGCCTGGGGTTGCTCACGGCCAAGTTCGTGTCGCTGCTGCAGGAGGCGCAGGACGGGGTGCTGGACCTCAAGGCGGTGAGCGCGCCGGCGCGGGAGGGGGCTGTGGCCCGAGCGCCGGGCCTGGGGCGGGAAGGGTGCTGGGAGGGGCTGGGGAGGAGCAAGGCGGGGGCGGGGCGGGGCGGGGCGGGGGCAGGCCCGGGTGTGGGGCGGGGCGGGGCGGGGTGTGGGGGAGAAAGCCAGCCCAGCACCCGCCCCGCCGCGTGGCCGCAGCCCGACTCGCTCTCCACAAAGAGCAGCCTGGTCCCCGCGCTGTTGGGACCGGCGTTTCCATGGGCTGCGCGCCCCGTGGTGTCCGGTTCCAGCGGACTCAGCCTCCCTCTGCCGCCCTCCCGCAGAGGAGTGAGGCTCTGGCCTGCGTGGGACGGGCTTTCGGGGTGCGGCTGGGTGCGGCAGAGACGCGGACCTCTCAGGGCGCGCAGTGTCGCCAGGGGGCCTCTGTCCCTGTAAAGCCGCCTGTGCCAGGGCCTCCCAGGGACCCGTGAGCGGAGGCCGGTGGTCACGCAGCCGGTGGACCGCCAGTCGGGATTGTCAGCCGCACAGCGCCCCGGGCGCGAGGGGCAGCCCGAGGCCAAGTGTAAGTCCGGACCCGGCTGTCAACCCGCCGGTGAGTCAGCGTCCACGCAGGCACTGCACACCCTGGCGCCCGTCCTGAGCCCAGCTGACCCGGCGTGGTCCCCGCACCCGGCCCAGGACGCCCACCTGGCTGCACCCCCAGCTCCTCTGAGACCTGAGGTTGCCGGGTGGGGGGTCTTCAGGCCCTGGCTTCCCTGGAGCGGCCGTGACGTGGCTCCGGCTGTACATTGAACCCATGAGCTGGCGGCTGCACGTGCGGTGTTGCACTGCTGGCGGAGAGGCTTCATGGCCAGACCACTCCGTGGTCGTGACCTAAATAAATGCCTTCTTCACAGGGAGTGTGAGGGTGTTACCACACAGCCTGCAGGCTACTGCTGAAAACCTAGAACTTCACCTGTAGCCTTGGACTTGAATAAAAGGAAGGATGCAAGTTTTGGGTTTCCCAGAGAAAACTGAACTCCAGGGGCTGACTTTGGAGGCTTCTTTCTCCCTCCGCTTGCCTGGGAGATGAGGCAGCTGCGCCCCTGTCTGGGGTTCTTGGCTTCCTCTTGTCCCCGAAATGGCTCCTGAAATCGACCTCTGGGAGTCGGGGGGCCAGTGAGCAGGAGGATTTACTGTTTGATCACAGTTCCTAAAGGTTAGAGGTTTCTGCAATACCATTGTCTTATTACATTAATGATTTTTTATACCGAGGGAACAGTTTGAGTATCATTCTTTTTTACATATATCTGGAAAAAACATCGTTCATTTACATACACTTTTCATTGTAAAATATATATCTAAAAAAATCTACATTAAAGTCTTTCTAATGTTTCTTATTGTACAAAATAGAAAAACATTAACGCATTTTTTTTCCTTTTTGTTTTTTATCATTACGTTTTTGACAATCTGTAATTTGATGTTGTTTGAAGTTATAAAATCGTTTCTTATATTCTTACTTTGGATGGTCCATTTCATCATAAGTTATTAATACTTTTGAGTTATACACTTGATACTTTTAAGAAGCAGTTCAAGAAACAGTTTTTGCGAGTATCATGAATCTGAAAAATTATATCAGCCTTCACATTCCCATGTCCCGGATGCCACGAAATAGCCAAGACCACCAGGATGCCGTCTCTTTCCTAACCTCACATACACTGCTCAAGGACAGGAACATCAGAAGTGAAGCTCCATTGTCAAAGCTTATGCAGTTTATTAAAAATCAAAAACTAAAAATTGGAACAAACGGAAAGCGTACACATGTCAAGGCTCCCGAGTCCGGGTGGGAACGCACCTGCAGCGTCTCTGGGGAGCCCCGGGCCAGGGCGAGCTGGCACTGAGGCTGAGCCGCCGGCCTCTGCCGAAGGAAGGTGGTTCCTGGGCTTTTCGTTCCCCAGAACCCAGAGCCCCTGCAGTCCCACTGAGGGCCTCGCACGACCGAGGTTTCCTGTAAACCTCCTTCTACGCCAGCACAGTCCCAAGCCTTAGACACGCGTGCCTCTTTGTTAGCTTTTCATAAATATATAAATTTAGATGGAGAGGGAGGTCTTCCTGCTTCCTCAGACCTGCAGACTGGTGCCGGGCTGCACCTGCAGGGGCTGGGTAGCTGGGACCTTTGCCTGCACACCCATTTATTTAAGTGTTTTAGGAACATTTGAAAATGTTTTGCCACAAATGTGTGTCACAAATACATAATTAATGCTAATTGGCATCTGAGTACCCATTCGCTTTCCGAATCTGTCCCGTGAAACAGAATGGTAACCACGTTACCAGCAGCTGCGCGCTGACTTAGGTGATGCCGGGGGGGGGGGGGGGGGGGGGGGGGAGAAGGTCAGTAATGTAAGTCCTGTTAAAAGGTTCTCTGCTCATAATCTACCGTGTTTGAAGGTAACTAGAATCCTGGCATCCACAGCACATTGAAGGCTTTGTAAAATTCTCATTAAAATACATCCTGGGCAGCCTTGCTGAGCCGCTCGGATTCCTCCCACCTTTCCTTCAGGACCTTCCGTGTGTGCAGTGCGCATGCGCGCGTGTGTGTGTGTGTGTGTGTGTGTGTGTGTGTGTGTGTGTAACAATTGGTCAGGGGTAGTATCACATGTGTGTTTGGGTTTGGATGCTTAGCAGCCCAAACACTGACCACGTGTCCTGCCAGCTGTGGTCCCAGAAGGGAGCAGCGACCTGCTCTGCAGATGAGAACCTGGGGACAGGCATTCTCTAGTTACTGTGTCATGTTCAGAGCTTCCTGTGCCCTCAGAATTCTCTTGGGCAGATGAGCTGCAGCTAATCCTAAGCAAACAGCTACCCTGGGCCCGCCCTCCAGAGCTCAAACTGCGAGGACCCCGCCAGGGACCTGGGTGGAGTGCTGGGCAGCCAGGTCCCACAGGTGCAGCCTGTGAGGGGTTCACCTGTTCATTGTCTTGGGCACCTCCCACCAGTCCCTGGCTGAATGGCGTCCGCCTGGGCATCACCGTGCTCCCGTGGTGACATTGTTAGGGGAGGACTCTGTTGGGAGGGGTTATTCTCCTCTGAGGCCTGTTTGCTCCTGTGCTCTCCTGGGCCAGGGAGCGGGGGTGGTGCAATGATATGCTTCCTTCAGGACCAGACAGTCAATCCCGGTGCAGGTCTGTCAGGGGCCCTGTTGCACGGGACCATGTTTACTCAGCAGCTGCGGTGCATGGGGGATGGGCACCCTGGGCACCAAGGCCGGTCTCTGGGGCTGGAGGAATGTGGGGTCTAGCTCTGCTGTTGCCGCTCACTCTCCTGCTCCCGGGGAAGAGGGGGGCGGACTTCACTCTGCCCCTCTCTCTCAGCCACGCCCCCCTTCACTGCACCCCACTGGAGAGGAAATAAAAGCCATCACAAGGAGATGCCTGCCTGTCTGCCATTTTACACTCTGGAGAAACCTCACAGTTCCTACAGTTGCCGCCCAGCGTCCCTGGCACTGCCCAATGCTCCACCTCCTTCCCTGGCATCTCTTCTCCATTGAGGCTGAATCCGTCACCTGCCCGGACAGCTGTGACTGGTCCACAGTAGTCCTGCAAAGCCTCACGAGGGGCCTGTGGCCGTGGTCTGACCTGGTTACCCTTTCTACTCTCCCCAGGACCCTCCCCCCTCCTCCGGCGTCAGGGCCCACAGACACCTGACAGTGCCCGGTGCAGCCTGGCTGCAGGGCTGGTGTGTGCCCACGCCAAGCCTCCTGCAGTCCTGCCCGCGTGCTCTGCTTGTGGCTGTGCATACGCTCTGTGTGTGTGTGTGTGTGTGTGTGTGTGTGTGTGTGTGTAAAGGGAAAGAAACAATGTGAGTTTTGGGAATCAAGGGCTGAATGTGCAAGTTGTGACATCGTAGGAAACTTCAGAAATGGATCTGAAAGGGACACCTGGTGGCTCTTTGCCTAAAGACCAAGGACAGCTCTGTGGTCTGTATCCTGCGACTACCCTGGTGGTCTAGCCTGAGCTGGGGGGAACAAGGAGAGTGCTGCTCTGTCTGAGCACCTGCTTGGAGGACCCAGCGCCTGGGGCCTGGCTTCCCTCTCAAGGGCCTGGTCCGAGGAGAGTGCGAAATGTGCTGCGCCCACAGCTCCAGGTGCCTCTGCAGTGGCTTCCGCCCCTCAGAAAAGGAGCCTCCCATCCTCAGACACCGCAGGCGGGCGAACAGAGGCGCTGCTGAGCCCAGCCTGGTCCCATGGCAACAGCCCAGCTCTGCCGGTCCACAGGCCCCTGAGGACCCGAGAGATGGGCAGGGCCGCCTGCGCCTGTGGTGGCCCCGCCATGGCTTCTAGAACCAGCGCTGCCCTCACAGTTCCACATGCCTGTAAGGGGGCTGTCCGTCACACTTGCTCCTGGGGGAGAGGTCCAGCTTCCAAAATTATGGGTTTACCCTGACTGGTGTGGTTCAGTGGATAGAGCATCGGGCTGTGGACTCAAGGGTCCCGGGTTTGATTCCGGTCAAGGGCATGTACTTTGGTTGCGGGCACATCCCCAGCGAGGGTGTGCAGGAGGCAGCTGATAGATGTTTCTAACTCTATCCCTCTCTTTTCCTCTCTATAAAAAATAAAATGTGTTAAAAAAAAAAAAAAACAACAAAAACACCAAATTTAGATTTTAAAAAACTATGGGTTTAGTAGGAGCTGCTTTCATACATGCTCAGGGAGGTTGTGATGCCCTGAGGACGGGTACAGCATGGTGGGTCTAGGCAGATGCTGACCACGTGGTGAGGACATGGAGTCTCAAGGCTGCAGGAACCGAGACTGTGCCATGTTCCGCAGGCTGCTGCCGAATCCACTTGAAAAGAGCCATGGGTCCCGTTATTTAGTTTCCACTTGTTCTGTTAGGGAAATGGGAGTGGCTAGAACTCCTGAAATCAGCCATAACTCGGGCGTTTTGTTGACCTGTGGCTGTGAGTGAGGCCCCTGGATGCGGATGGCGGCCTGGCCGGCATGGGGCAGGGGTTTGCGGGGGGTGTCATGGTTTCAGAAGTGCTCAGTGTGTTAGGTTCGCCATGTGTGTCCTTCAGCATTTGCCCCAAGTAAGTTAGCTGAATTATTTTTTAAATTTCCGAGATAGAATTTTTCAAAGTTTCAAAAAAGAGTTGAAGTTGTCTGTAGTCCAGACTGTATGAGCTGGGAAATGAGACAGGAGCGGCAGGTTGGCAGTTGCTGTCCGGATTAGCCCAGGAGGTGCCAGGAGGGGTTCTTACCATTTCTTTAACCACAGACTCTGTGCCCCCACCTCTCCATCTTCCTGCCATTTCAGCATCTGCTGACTATACATGGTGTCCATGGGCCTGGGGGGGGGGGGGGGTAGGGTGGAGGACGGAGGGAGGGAGCTGCTTGAACTCCCAGCTGCTGTTCCCATCCGCGCTGGCTCTGAGTGGCCCTAATCCCTTTGTGAACAGGCTGCAGATACTCTGGCTGTGAGGCAAAAAAGAAGAATTTATGACATCACCAACGTCTTGGAAGGGATCGACCTGATTGAGAAAAAGTCAAAAAACAGCATCCAGTGGAAGTAAGTGGCAAGGCAGGGTGGGGCAAGGCAGGGCTCTGCTCCGAGACCGGCGCTCCCAAGCAGCAGAGCCCAGCGCTCCTGAGCCTCTGCCGCTGGTGCCCTCCCTGGCCGCAGCCGCCTGGACCTGCGGGGCTGCCGTGCCCACCCGAACGTGGCCCTTGCTCTCTGTGGTTTAATTTACTCTTCAGAACGCACATCGTACGTTCTCCCCCAAAGCCCTGCATGGCACCCGCACTGTGCTGGGTCATCAGTCCCTCTCCACCCCAGTGCTTGTCAGCTGATCAATTATCACAAACGCCTAGGAGCAGGAACTATGTCTTCCCGGGGGAACATGTGCCTCATAAATCATAGTTGATCTAAATGCACATTGTCTCTTAACCGTGATCTGGTTGTATGTTTGTGGCAAATGCATTGTTTTGCAAATTTGTCCCCTTTGACCTCCATTTTTTGTTGTTTTTATTTTGGTCAGAATCCCACCAAAATAAGTAAAGGTTATCATTCATTTCACCTGTGTCTCAGTCTACATCTGAGATGTCCAAGTTGAACAGATTGGCTGTGACACCTTTTTGGTGTATCTGTTACCAGCCTGACGTTCCAGGTGATCGCGATAAAACATGCTGGGAAATTTTGAAATTGCACTCTTCTTGCCAAGAAATATTCTAAGCAATCATGTTTTGAGGTGTGGTAATTAATTTTTTTAATCCTTTATTTTTATAATAGTGTAAAGATTTTTATCTTCAGTGTTGCTCCTTCGGTGTTAGTGCTGTAAAGATCAGGTGTGTAGTTGGCCTGGGTCTGACGTGTGTGCGTGCTCCCTGTGTGTAGAGGTGTGGGCGCGGGCTGCAATACGAAGGAAGTGCTGGAGAGACTGCGAGACCTCAGAGCTGAGGTGGAAGACCTGGACCTGAAGGAAAGGGAGCTGGATCAGCAGAAGTCATGGCTGCAGCAGAGCATTCGCAATGTGATGGATGACACCATCAACAGCAGATATCCTTTTCCATGGTTGCACGTCACATCGCTGGGGAGGGGGAGGTACAGGGCAGGGCCAGCGATCAGCAAGCTTTGCCTGACATCCTCCCAGCCAGGAGTCGGTGCTTTGTTCACTGTGTTTAGAGATTTAAGTTTAGGAGTAAATGTAACATTTCCATTTTATGTTTCTAACAATTTAAACATTTTGCCTTTCTAAGTTACATAGTCTATTTAGTACCATCATTCCTGTGCCTCATTGAGAAAATAAATTTTGTCTATTTTCCTACCCATTGCTAACTGCCATGCTCCAGCTTTTGTGGATTGTAGACACCGCTATGAAGTGCGTAGGTTATTGTAAATCGGGTGAGAACCTTTTTTCTGCCCAGGGCCATACAGATTTATCACCTTGACAATGAGCCCGCTATCTTTGGTCAGATGTTTAATTAGCTCAACCCCAATGCCTTGGCAGAGCCAGACCCAATGATTCGTGGGCCCTGCCCCTGTTCCGTGTTCTGGAGGGGTGAGCATTCAGCAGCGCACAGCTTGGAGAAGTTCATGTGGGCTGGACAACCCGGGGTACTTTCCCCTGATCCTAACTCAGCGGGGAGCCTCCCAGAGGCTGGTGCGTCTGCCGGGTTAGAAGGAAGAGGGGTACACCCAAGTTGCCTGGATATGCAAGCGCCCCTTTGCTCTCTGGGACATTTCCCCTGCATCAGCCTCGTGCCTCGTGAACTTTGACCTACCTGAGGTCAGGGAGGCTCCTTGTCATCTCGTCCTGGGTGCACAAGTCCATGAGCTCACATGTCACTTCCTCTATTAGTCAGAGCTCTTTCAATGAGAACTTGGGGTTTCAAGCTGTGCCCTGTGGAGCCACAAGATTCCAAACCCATTGGACTGGCTGACCTTGGACTTTGCTGCGAGGCTTTCCAAGGTCCCAGCTGCTCCTAGGAACCAAACTGCGGCCCAAGAAGGTGTGGGTGTAGAGCCTCTGTGGCATCCGTCTCGCCCCAGCACCCCCAGAGCCCATTCCTGAGCAAGAGGTTTCTATCCGGAGGGTCCGCAGCCACAGAGCCCAGAGCAGCGGGCCCTCTGGGCGCTTTTGCCGATTGTCTGCTTTCCTCTGTGTACAGCAGCCGCCAGCTCTCTCGTTGTTTGTTCAGACCTCTGGTTTGTTAATGGAAATGCCTAGCGCTTGTGCAAATGTGTTCCTTAACTCCTGTGACGCACATTTTCCTACGTGACCCACGAGGACATCTGCAACTGCTTCCACAGTGAGTGGGTGCTGCCTCTGATCGACCGCTGCTGCGGAGACTCAAACCCGGGGTTCACCGGGCCAGGGTCAGGAGTGGGTTCCTCATCTCACTGCAGTGCGCTGGGCTCACAGCCGCTCACATTCCATTCCATGTCAGCGACCACTGTTCCCGCTCATGGCCCTGTCTGCACAGCTGGCGGTAACGGGGTGGGAGGGGCAGCTCCGTCCAATTGGGGCTAAATGACAGTCGCAGTCAGGGGCCAACTTGAACTTGGTGCTCATCGCTCTGGCTGTGAAGCTGCAGCGAGTGAGCCGGGCCCAGCGCAGAGGAAGCAGGGTGTGCATAGATTATTGTATTACAATTCAATATATTACAATAACCTACGAAGAAAACCGGCTTCCCAGCCCACCCACCTCGTGTGGCTCTGGAAATGACCACATAAGCCATGAATAGTGACGGGGGGCGGGGGGGCTAGGGGGGACAGCGCACACGTCTCGGTGATCATGCCTGTCACAGGACGCCTGTCACTGACTGCAGGCGGGGGTGGCTGTCGCCAGCCGTGGCCACCACCGGAGGCATCATCTTCCACAAAGAGGGTAGGATTGGGCTCCCAGGTGAGCTCACTCACGCTCCGGAGTTCAGAGTATCGCACTGCCTCTGGTGTCCTGATCATTACACTATCTCAGCTATTTCCAGTAAACAGTGAGTTTAGTTGACATCAGAAAGCTGTCAGAGTCTCAGATTCAACAAGCTTCACTGGACTGAGCTTGTTCAGGAGAGTGATAGATCTAAGATCTACATCTGTGACCTCTTCTCAGCAAAACCCTGTAGGGTTAGTCCCTCTCTACAGAGGAAGAAGCAAAGCCTGAGCCTGGGATTCGAACCCAAGCCTCAGTCTCCAGGGCCCACCCGCTTGCCACTCTATTTACTAAAATTGAAACGTCTGTTTTCTGACAGGTGACACACTGTTGGCCATCCAAGCACCTGCTGGCACGCAGCTGGAGGTCCCGCTTCCGGAGCTGGTAGGTGGGCTGGTCAGAGTGGACAGCTGGCTCGGGAAGGAGGCCCCTGCCCGCCTCTGCTCACGAGCTCCCTGGGAACTCTCAGGCGGTCAGTGCAGGGCCTCCATACTGAGTCTGGATGTCTTCAGTACTTGGGAAAACTGGAGACATGACTGAATGAATTACGTAGCATTTTATTTTTAAAAAATTTGATTTCATGAATCATGTTATAGTCAGTAATCTTAAAGCATCAGTTTGGCTGTTTCTGCAACCCATGTACCAATCGTGTCTGTGGAAGAAGTTCAATTGAAATATCAACAGTAATACATTGTTTTAGATTGGGTCATTTTAACACATCTGGCTCACTGAGTCATATATGAATTAACTCTCTGCCGCGTCCAAGTTTCATGAATTTAGTTTGGGATCCGGAGTTCTGAAACTCATTTGAAAGCTAGCAACCAGAGAGGGGCAGACAAAGGTGACGCTGTCACCGCCCTGCCCTGTCACCCGAGGGCTTGGATGTAGGTGTTCACAGAGTGGACCTGGGGGACTTGGAAATTCAGGGACGTTGCTCCCCTCTGCAGGAAAAGCCCGTGGTTATGTGCTTGCTGCCGGAGATGGAGGGCAGCGGAGGGGCCAAGTGCCTGGGCCCACGCCCAGGAGGGAGTCCATACAGAATGTGAGCAGTCATGACGTCAAAAGGGAGGTCTGCCAGAAGTCTACAACTGAGTTTTTGGAACTCAGTTTTTTGAGAAACACTTTAAGGGGCAGGGTGCTTAGAGCTCCATTCCCTGTTCTCCTCATGGTCTCTGCTCAGTGTCCTGACCGACTGCCTGCTTTGTTGTGTGGATTTAGTTACTCGCTAGTAGCTTTATCTCATTTTCAACTTGTTTGCACCCAACCACTTCAAAGGGTCAGAATGGACAGAAGAAGTACCAGATCAACCTAAAGAGTCACTTGGGCCCCATCCACGTGCTGCTGATAAATAAAGAGTCCAGCTCGTCTCAGCCTGTGGTTTTCCCTGTTCCCCCACCGGACGACCTCACGCAGCCCCCCTCTCAGCCTTCTCCCCGGACTGTGCACAAGCCCAGCCCCACCCCGCCGAGCCCTCCGGGGCCACCCGCCTCTGAGAGGACCCCTGGCCTCGAGCACATCCCGGCCACAGACTCGGCTTCAGGTGGGCCCAGAGCCTCCTCTTAGGGAGGAGAGCTTTTCTGAATTTGTGTCCTAGTGACTGTCACCTGGTGCAGGAGGGAAATAGGAAGCTAGTTTAATCAGCAAAGATGATGCAGTCTGTGTCCAGCGCCGGGACAGGTTTGAGAAACATCCTGTCTTTTTATACTATTTATATTGTTTGGTTATAATTGTGTATTATTGTATAAGTATTTCAATATGTTGTTATGGATCTGTTTCTGAAGATACACTTTACACACATGATCTGTCTATCCAGAAGCAAACAGTGGGAGAGCGGTGTGGCTGAACTTGGAGCTCTGCACGCTCGGCAGTGTTGAATGGCCTGAAGTGCACTTTTCTTTAGGGTTCCATTGCGCCTCTGCTGCCATGTGTGCGTCTGCTCTTATCCGAGGTGTGCTTTGTACGGTGATCTCGCCACTCAGGACAGGTTACCACACCCCTGGCCGCCTTTGCGGAGTCAGTCTATGGAGCGCAGACCCCCTTGTCCTCGGTCCTCCCTGCGGTGCCTGTGTCTGGAACTCGGCTCAGGGATGACTGTCACACCCGTCTAGACGCAGTGCTGCAGGTCATTCAAACTGGTCTCATTTGTACCTTCGGGACGTGTCCCAGGACAGGGCAGGAGTCTGCTGCCCAGGTTGCTCTCGGTGGGGCCTGGTGAGGCTGTGAAGAAAGGTCTGACCACGCACAGAACGCCTCAGGGTCATGTCCTGTCCCCTCCATCCTGTGGTCCCTGTATTTCTACCATCAGGTGTGGGGATGCCTGTCCTCCGAGTATAACCTAATGGGGGAAGAAAGCAGGCAAGCTCTGAAAGGTTCAGCTCAGACCCAGTCCATCGGCTTCGAGCATTCAAAAAGTCTGAGCAGTCAGTTTCTGTAGATGGTTTTGTATCAGGAAATAGTAAGGAAGGTGGCTTGGGGCTGTGACAGAGTGAGGATTAGTGGGTAGCCAGTGACGTGCTGTGACCGGGAGGTGGCCGTGGAGGCTACATGGCGCTGAGTGCCGGCACGTGACTGGGAGGAGACGCCTGGGAAGCAGAAGGCAGGGCGGTGTGCAGCTGTGAGAACATTTAGGCACAGGAGGGTGATGGCAGTGGGTGCATGAGAGAAAGAAAGAACACGCAGGAGATGTTTAGGCAAAATAAGTCCCACATAACGTGTTGAACGAAAAGTGATGGCGCTTTACTGGCTAAAGCCCAGGAGTCCACTGTGGGAGGCGGCGGTGGCTTTGAGGCAACTTGAGTTAGAAATTTACAAGTGAAACTTGTAGGTGTGAATGAACACATGCGTTCTAGTCCTTCACGTGGACTGAGTGGAGGGGCTGATGCGGACTCCCGTATTTAATGTCTCCACTGCAGAGATGTCACAGCGCGATCACCTTTCTCTTCCCACAGGATCTGTTACTGGAGATATCATTGATGAGCTGATGTCTTCTGACGGTAAGCAGCTTACGTGGTACTACCTCCCTCAGGCAGAGCTGCTTCCTTGGAGCTAAAGGTGGCACAGGATTGATTAAGTACTTAGTGCCTTGTGGCAAGTTGTGAAAATTCTCCTTCACTAACACTGGTGAGTAAACCCTGGAAGTCTGACCCCACCGGTCTGTGCCTGCTTCTCAAGGGGACTCTGGTCAGGGGCCACTTGCCTGCACCGAGCAGACTCCCTAGGCGCCGGCACACCAGTCCTTTCACTCCACAGGAATCTGGCCACGGCCAGTAAAGCTGTCAGTAGGCCAGCATGAAGCCACCACACTGCTCCTGACCATGGCCATGTCACACTCTAAACTGAAGTCTGTCAGCCTCAACAACCCATTTCTCAAGCTTATACCTAAGTCCATGCACAAACTGTCTTAAAACAAGAATCTCAATATGCACAGTAAACACAAGTCATTAATATGATCATTGCTTTTCCACATAGAAATGGTAATTTAATGGATGGGCCTTTCGAGTGTGTGGAGCCACATTAACCTTGAACCTGTGCTTTGCTTGCAGTGTTTCCTCTCCTGCGGCTCTCCCCAACCCCCGCAGACGACTACAACTTTAATTTAGATGACAGTGAAGGAGTGTGTGACCTGTTTGATGTCCAGATACTAAATTATTAGACTGGAAACCTGGGACAGTTATCTACCTCTAACTGAAACCTTGTAGACTTGCTAATCACCTGATATTTATAATGAAGTAACACCTGATTAGGTTGTTGATTCCGGTGTCTACTTCCCTAACTCTTGCTCTCTGACTTCACAAAATGTCAACTGTGAAAACAAAGGGCTCTTCGAAGCCCCTAGGGACTGCATTCTGGGACTTCAACTTCCCTTCCAATTCTAACTCCGGTTTTACTCTTATGAGATTAAAGTTATAAGGTTAAAGGTCATCGAAAACCAAAATGGCCAAGGGCTCCTCACTTACTATTATTTGTGTTCCACTTTTACTGCCACGAAACTGTCCTATTTCTGCGCTCCCATCCTGACGTCACTGCCACGTATGAAGTGAAGATATCCAAGAAGCTGCGGTCACTTCCGGGGAAGAGTTTGTGAAGTGCCTTCGTTCTAGCACTTTAAGTTCACCACGTTTGCTGACTCCTGACATTCCACTTCCTGGATTATAGGAGAGGGCTGTTTATGTAGTTTGTTTTAAAATGTGCCAATGTCTGTACATTAACAAGATTTTTAAAAATAAAGTTGTATAGAGCATTTAATTTATTGGTTTTTGGGGGACAAACACATTACAACTGAGCCATTAATCTCGTAGCTTCGTCAACATTCACTGGTTTGTTTTCCGGACTCGGCTGCAGAGCCTGGAGGGAGGAAATATTAGGTGTAAACAGTTAGGTAACAGTGGTGCACAAAATTACCCATTCATCTAGTACCCAACTTCATTTCTACTCATGCCTTTGGAAACATGGTAAATTCTCATGTTCACAATGTTCATGAATATGCTATACACACAGCACAGCCATGTACACCAGAGAGCCAAGTACTTGAAAATCACATTCGACTTACAGGCTGTGGGAATTAGGGGGTTAATTTATTAGCCTCCGTTTATTAAAAGGAAATGCTCTACGCACCAGCTGTTTCTGCAGAGGCTCGAGGGAAAGGCCTTGAGAAAAGTGAGCAAGCTCCTTCTGTATGTCCACAAAAGTTTCATTCATTCTTTTAACTTTTTCAGCATTCACAATGTTTATCTTTTTAAAAAAGAAAAAGAACATTATTAATCCAGGCCTCATAACCCTTAAGGATAAAATATACTCAACCTTCATTTAACCTTGTTAAACCTAAATTCTTAAGTCAATTGTACCAGTTTTCTGGGCAAGCTTTACACTAAAATCTCAGTCTTATTGGGCAATGTTGGACAAAAAGTTCTGTTTTTTAAGAAGGACAAGTATGTGGAACACCCCCTATATTGACTTCACCTGGGTAAGCAGGCCAGTGCGTGGACCAGATGGCCGAGCTGTTATCTCTTGCCAATGAGGCGGGAGCCCGCATCCCATGCCCCCATCCTGCTAACGGGGCCTCAGCCTCCCTCACTTTCTGGCCCCAATGGAGGTCCCGGCAGTCTGAGGACAGCCACCCGGCAGCCCCCATCTTGAATCTGAACGGTGGGGTGGAGGTCTCATTCTTCCTGTAAACCTTATGCCCTGGGACATGCTGGCCTCACCCTCCCCCCTGTCACTTGCCAACACCAGGACTACTTGCTCCTTCATGAAAGATGTCCAGCCTCGTCTCACTAAGTCCAGGCCTGGCGTCACTGCTTGTGGCCCCACCAACAACCTAATGCTGTGGCCTCTGCCGGTCCTTATCTGTCCACATACAGTTCAGTCAGGATTCTCACATCTCACTGCAGCCTCCGCATCCAGTATTTCACGTTCCTGCATTCCCTCAGCCAACACAGACCCAAGACCACTATTTCCTCAACCAATGAACTTTCCTCTCTCCACATCTCTCCCATATCATACTTGCCTGCAAGCCAGTTATACTCACTGATCAGACTGCTGAGCCTAAAACCAAAGCCCTAGAAAATCGTAGCCGGGTGAGTGGCTGCATTTTAAATCTGTGGCCACAAACTTCTGACCACTTACCTGGTGCCTGGCCGTCCACCGCCCTCCTCTGGTAAGTCAGGCCATTTTCTGAGAAAACTACACGCCCAAGCTGCCAACGCACACATCTCCCTCTGGGCACTTCCTTCAGCACAGGAGGCGCCGGTGCTTCCACCTGAGGAAGCACCACCTGGGCCTTGGCAGCGCTCTGCCCCCAGCACCCCCCCGCTCTCCGAATCACTAGCTCCTTCTCACTCAGGGCTTGGCGATTCCATGTGAAAGTGTCACTCCAAACCCCCGTCGTATCATGGGCCTTATTTCCCTTATAACATTTCCAAAATCATAAAGTCGCTTGATCAAAAAGCTGACCTCAACTAGTTCATGAAAACTGAAAAATGTTACATTTCTGTGCGCTATCATGATATTTACTAAGTCCCAGAGAGCTGATGCCACATACTATTTCAACCTGAAAACATTTTCTGCAGGACTCACTCTGCTATATACATCTTGATGAATAAATTTCCTATTGCCCAAATATTTTGAAGTAAAAACAAAAAAGATAAACTTTTCAAATTTTGCATTTTAAGGAACACAGTATGGTATTTTCACTTGACAGGTTCTTGAATATGCCTGAGGTCAGAGAAGACAGGTTCTGATGGGGATTGCCGAGATCCAATAAAACTATCAAATTGTTACTTGGGAGTCTCAATGGTTTGCAGTTAATTTTTTTCTTTTTGTATATCTGGATTTTTTTAAAAAACAAATGTTTAAAATCCTTTTGCCCTTGTAAGGGAGGCTAAGAACCTGTTTTAAATAAAAACATTTGGTTTCTCATTAGCTTTGCCGTCATGCTTTGCTTGTAAACAAGGAAGCTGGGTGCTTAATGTTCACCTTCTTAAGATTCGTGGTCACGGGTTTTGTTTTACTTTTCCCCTTGAAGTTTTTTTGGCTGGCTATGTGAAACACATTCCTGTGCTTCTGCCCTTTCCATTTGTTCTTGGCCATTGTCTAGAAAAGAAAGAAAAGAAGCTCAATTAAGCTGCCCACTTTTATGACTGTAAATCAATTTAAGCTTTTAGAGTGCAGGTACCAATTAAATCTAAGAAATTCCACCTTAATGCTGGTTATTTTTTAAGTTGCTGCATGTATTAAATTACTTCCATGTCTTCAGCTGCCTTTAGATTTTCTGCCGTTGGGAATGCAGAATAGGTATCTAATTCTTTTTTGCATTTACAGCACCTGGCTCACAGGAGGCGCTGTGAGCCAGGTGCTGTAAATTCACATTCACTTTTGCTGTTTGAATCAACAATATCAACACAGTTGCTTTTTCAGCTTCCTGCAGCAGCCCACCATGTTAACCATCACTACCCACCCTGCAGTTCACATGCTACTGTACCACTCCGGTGCCATATCCTAGGACTGACTCCTTCCTTGTTTCATTCCCACGTCCTCTCCGGTGTGCCCATTAAGTTCTGATTAAGTACAGAACTTAATCCTGTACTTCCTACTCCCACTTCCCTTAGATTACTTTCACATCTGTCAGGTCATCTCCCTGTAGATGGCTCTTGCCTTGAAACTTTAGATATTCCTTATTCTATAGCTGAACACAAACTAAGCCTGTAAGTTCTACCTTAGACACATCTCTCCAATCTCTTTAACAATGCACGTGAGGAACAATTTAAAAAATATTAACAGTCAAGACTTACTAAGCTTTTACTCTATGTACAAGTACTATGCCTTCGTTTTATGTACTTTAATTTCCTCCTCACAATACTTTGTGTCCTTTTTATCCCCATTCAAAGGGAAGTTGATGCATCCACTGTCACAGCAGTAGTAATCAGGGAATGCCAGGCAGAGCTAGTGGTGGAATACAGCCATTCCTGTCCAGAGTGGGCAATACGGCCACTCCTGTCCAGAGTAGGTTTACAGTTGTATGTGGAAGTTTGTTCTTGTATTATTATTTACTAGAGGCCCAGTGCACGAAACTCGTGCACTGTATGGGGGGTGTCCCTCAGCCCAGCCTGTACCCTTTTGCAGTCTGGGACCCCTCAGGGGATGTCTACCTGCAGGCTTACGCCCAAAGGGATTGGCCTAAACTGGCAGTCAGATATCCCTCTTGCAGTCCAGGACCCCTCACTCCCTACTGCCTGCCTGCAGCAGAGGTGGGAGAGGCTCCCTCCACTGCCGCTGCGCTCACCAGCTGTGAGCCTGGCTTCTGGAGTGCACTGACCACCAGGGGGCAGCTTCTTCAGTGAGCATCTGTTCCCTTGGTGGTCAGTGCGTGTCACAGCAACTGGTAGTTCTGCCGTTTGATCGATTTGCATATTAGGGTTTTATTATATAGGATTAACTAGAGGCCCAGTGCACAAATTCATGCACCAGTGGGGTCCCTCAGCTTGGCCTGTGAGGCTGGGCTGAAACCGGCTCTCTGACATCCCCGAGGGGTCCCAGATTGCGAGAGGGCACAGGCCAGGCTGAGGTGCCCCACCAGTGCACGATCAGGCCAGGGAAGGATGGAGGAGGTTGGTCAGCCGGGGAGGGACCACGGTAGGGCTCCAGGGCACGTCTGGCCTGTCTTGCTCAGCCGTGGTTGGCCTGAATCCAGTAGCCAGCTAACCTTCCTGTTGAAGTGTGCTAACCTACCTAGTGACCAGTGCACGTCACAGCGACTGATCAAGTGGTTGACTCTCTGCCCCCTAGTAATCAGTGTATGTCTAGCGAGAGATTACGCAGTTTTAGCATATCATTAGCACATTAGGCTTTTATTACCGTATTTTTCAGACCATAAGACGCACCGGACCATAAGACACAACAGTTTTTAGAGAAGGGAAATGAAGAAAAAAAGATTCTGAAACAAATAGTGTCCTAAAATATTTTATGTGCATTAAAACCCAACATCACAGTCATAAACACATGTAATCAACCCTGTAAAGTAAGCAGCAGCATTTAGAACCATTTTAGAGCCAGGCAAGCACACACAGACCACACCGAGCCAGGCAAGTAAAAAAACTTTTTTTTTACAGTATATGTGTAGGCTATATTTGGACCATAAGATGCAGGGACTTTTTCCCCCCCACTTCTGGGGGGAAAAAAGTGCGTCTTATGGTCCGAAAAATACGGTATATAGAACTAGAGGCCCGATGCATGAAAATCATGCAAGATTAGCCCTTCTTTCCCCTGGCTTCCCTCTGGTACCCAGGACCCGGGCTTTGCTCTGGCCACCAGCCGGCACCTGGAAGAAGAGCAACTTCCCTCCATCCCCAGCTTCATCAGGTAAGACGAATGACAATCAGAAGATATTCAGTCTAATTAGCATATTACCCTTTAATTATTATAGATTATTGTATTACTTCCCATACAATTACTTTTGCCCGACCCTGTATAAATGAAAATGCAATACAAAAGTATGTTGTAATATTTACTGGGTTACTGCTAGTATCTAGATTTGGCTTGTGCAAACAATACCCCTGGACCAAATCAGGTTAGACATCTTCTTTGTAAATAAAGTTTTATTAGAACAAAGCTATGTCCATTCAACTATGTATTGTCTTACGGGCACTTTCCTGCTGTAACTGTGGTCCACAAAGCCTAAAGTATTTGCTACCTGGCCCTTTACAGAAAGGCTGTCCACCCCTGGCATGAGCCATGTGCACCCAAGTCTACCCTGAACAGTCTATGAAATGAACATGCTAATGCAAAACCCTGTGAGGGCACAAGGAGCAATGTGCTCTGGCAGCTGCTGGAACCCAGAACCAGACTCATCTGTCACTCTCCTCTGCCTCCCAGCACCCCCCCTGCACACTGCTGTACACTGTTCTCTGAAGACACTTGCCCATCACCGCTTCCTTCCCTTTGCTCACATTGTGTTTCTCTGAAGTTTACATCCTCCAAGTCCCCAACTACTTAACAGCCACAGTTTCCACCCCAACAGTAGTTAATACATACTTAAAAATGATACTGTGGACGGAAGCACGTGCTGACCTGACAGCTCAGGGGAGGCCTGCGTGGCCGTCTTGCAAACTCAGACCTAAAGTCACCACAAGGAAGGTCTGAAATTAAACTGTAATTGAACGCAGTGATGGTGGGTAGTCACCTTCTAGGCTGCTATCTTCACTGATATGGTCAACCTTAACCTTAACTGAGCCTATTTGTCTTTTTGCATCTATGATAACACACACTTAGAAATGTCTGTAACTTGTAACTTCTCATTTTCCAGACCCCCTGGGGCACAACCAAAAGTGCTGGGTGACAGGACAGACACCACCAATTCCTTCATTATCATGTTAATTGTTCCTGCACCCCTAAGTATGTGTCCATCATTTTCCTTTTTATCCAATCCCAGGGGTTTCCCCGCTTTGCTTTCTCCCGCCTCTCTAGTCTATCACCAATGGATTGCATGTAACCCACCTACCGTGTTTCCCCGAAAATAAAACATCCTCCGAAAATAAGACCTACTTATAAGTTTCCTTCTGAGTGAAATATAAGGCATCCTCCCCAAAAATAAGGCCCCCCCAGGCTCTGTCTCAGAATGCTATTGCTAAACATGAGAGATTTGGTCCACTGATTCTGAAAGAAATGGAGTCACAAGAAATTCACCAGGAAATTCAGGAATTGGATTGTTATGATGATGTTCCAGAAGATGATGACATGACTGTCATTGAATAAATGAGTAAATTCTTGATACTGTAGGATTCTCAGTTTGTCTGGTTTGTGTTGACAACTACCATACTACCATACCGTATACAGGTAATAAATTTCCTTTATTTTCATTTAATAATAAATGTGTACCGTATTCTTCTTCATGGAAAAATAAGACATCCCCTGAAAATAAGACCTAGCGCATCTTTGGGAGCAAAAATTAATATAAGACACTGTCTTATTTTCGGGGAAACAGGGTATGTCCCCTCCTTTGATTGCAATGTATAAACATAGATGTAACCCGAAATTCTCCGGAGCATCATCTCAATCCATTGAGGTTCTGCTTCCCCGCAACTGTCGAGTTTGGCTCAAAAAACTCACAGCAATTCTTTCCAGGTCTGAACACTACAGAAAAGACATTATTATAGAAAAGAAAATACAGATAAGTTTCCCTAAGTTCAATGACCTAAAATCCTTCCAATAGTAACCAAACTCCAACCATTCATCAATTGCTTCCATGTGCCAGGTGTGGCACAGGATGACATACACCTGAAGCACACCGGCTTGCACAGGCAGGTCCATGGGGAAGGGAAGATCCTAAGTTGGGGGGACAGGGAATACCCTTAACACCGCACGGAAATCATGACGCCAGACAAACCCAGAAACTGGCCCCGGCCCAGGGCTGAGGCCCTGCAGTCGGAGACGCGCGGCGACCCCGGACCGACCGCAGCGGCGCGAGGCCCGCCAGCCCTGCCCCAGCCCCAGCCCCAAACGCCCCACGAACCTCTCACTCTGCGGCCTCTCACACCCTCCAGCGGCTGCTCGCCACTCCAGCTCCGGTGACGCCACAGGCACGGGCAGGATCCAGGAAGTTCCGGGGAGGCAGCCAATTAAACTTCCCCTCCTAGGCCGCGGTTCCGCCCACCGAGCAGAGCTCCGCCCACAAAGCGAAGGTCTATTCGTGACTCGGCCAGAACACAGAGACAAGCCCCGCCCACAGAACGTAGCCCCACTCACCGAGGCTGGTAGTACAGTACCCACTCAAAGCCCCGCCCACCGCATGTACGGGACGTAGTTCCGCCCTAGAGCAGGTTCCCGCCCCTGACATAGCCCCGCCCTCAGGGTTCTTGTTTCTGGGCACTGTATCTGAGAGACGCCCCGCCCTCCGCAGGAAGTCCCGCCCTCCGCGAGAACCCGCCCTCTATAGGAAGTCTGGTCCCCAGCGTCCCCAGTCTAAGCAGGGTTGTGGTTTAGCAAACACTGAACCGAGAGGACGTGATCTGTCATCCAAGCGGTCGCCCTTGGCCTCTGCCGTCGGTCCCAGGAGGGGGCGCTCGCACCTGGCTGGCGTCCACGCGCGAGGAGCCCAAGTCCTTTCCTCAGGTATCTCCTTGTTTCACAGCCGCGCCTGGGGCCAGGCAGGGGCGCAGGGCCACGGGAAGATGTCACCATGGGAGCTCCAGCAACGCAGCGGACGCCCGCCTGCCTTTCGGCGTCCGCGAGCACACCACCCGTTCCGATCTCAAGGCTCACTGTCCTGGAAAGTACCCCCAAGCTTGCAGAGCATCCCTCATCCAGTCTTAGTCCACCCGGTGTCCCGTGTGTCGCTGCTCCCTTTGGCCGTCCCGGAAAGCCAGGTGTCACCGCACAGGTGCTGCGTTCCCACCTGACTCTCCTGGGAACGCGTGCGGCCTGGCCGGGCGGGAGGGATGCCGCGGTCCGCGGACGGGGGTCCAGGCGTCAGCTGTGCACTCGCAGCGTCTGTAACTCATGCTCCACCTGTGAGTCTGCCCGCCGGCCATGGCCCCTTCCTCTGTCCCCTTTGTCCCACCCACGTTCCGCAGCCCAGGGCCCGGGAGCTGTGACTTAGTTTGCTCAGAGACGAAAATGCCCTGAAGTGGAAAAAGCAGGGATTGTAGGAAAGGAAAATGACTTCGAAGCTCTGTCATCTGATGAGCAAATGCCTAGAGGAGAACTTCTTTTTATCTCCGCTCCTCAAATCTGTTTTTAACTTAAGGAAGCAGTTTTATCCAGAGTACTCTGGCCAAATGCCTAGAAATCCCAAACCTGAACATAGAAAATAGCCAAAGGTTGAGAAAAGTGCAGTGCATATCACAGAGGCTATAAAAACATCCGAAGGTACATCAAGTTCTTCCGCGG